CTCACCCCATTTCACTGGTGAGTAAATTGAGTCCCCCCCCAAAAAGAGAGAGAGAGAGAGAGAGAGAGAGATGACTGTTCCAAGAGCACAAAGTCTTTTCGAGCAGGACAGTTGGAAGAGCTCAGACTCCCGCCATGTCCCTGGATCCATGGCAGGCTCTGTGGGACCCTAAAGGGCTGTCCCCACCTCCCTTCAGACCCCGAGAGGGGTCCCAGAAAATAACACACTCCTTTTCAAGGATTTCCTTTTGCATCACGCAGGTCTGTGCTCACCGTGGCTTCTGAGAGCAGCCTTCCCTTTCTTCATCAGATGCAGGCTGCACCCCTGTCCCCCTCACACCGGGGTTTGCTTCCTGCCTCCTAATTCTCATTGTCTGAGAAGACCTTGCTTGTTTGTTTGCTTTTCTTACTCAGCTCTCTAAGAGAGGGCACCTCCTTGCCTTAGTTCCAGTCCTTGTTGTGGCTGTCCCAAAGCCCCCACGGAGTGTCCCTCAACATTGACAGTGGGAGGGGGAGGGGCAGGTGCCTTCCTTCTCTGCAGAACTGGGAGGGGTGGCCCATTCCGCACCCCACCTGCACAGATACCCCAAGTGCTTGTTGCCGTATTAAAATGCTCATGACTTTAACATGGCTTGCTGAGCCCTTCTTCTAAGCTCCGGCCCGGCCCTCACTGCATCCTGCATGGGCCCTGGGGTGGGTGGTCCTGGGGTCAGAGGCCTGGGGAGTTGTAGGCTCCAAAATGGGCCCCCTTTCCTAGACAGCCCTTCTTGTCCTTGGTTCTCTGAGAGTCCTGCCTGCTGCGGGGGGCACGGGGTGCCGGGCCACCCGCTGCCAGGATGGCCTTCCTCTGGGGTCTCCACAGTGTTCCGAACTCCTCTTTCTCTTGTGTTTGGGCTTGTGGTCATAGAGAGGCTTTATGACCTTGATAGTGTAAGGTGCCTGCCCGCAGGGGCGCCTCATTGTATCTGCAGGCCCTGACGTCATGGTGGGCACTTGGTCTCGGACCTCCCAGTGGGTGCACAGACCTGCTTCGGAGGGGTGGTTCTGTGGGCTCAGGAGCCATGTGAGAAGCTCTGTGGACACTCCTGTGTACCTACATGGGTGTGGGCGCTTGTACACACATGCACGTGTGTGTGTGGAGGGGTGAGGGCTTGTTGACCCGTGATGGACTCTCTGTGAAGTGAGAAGCTCTGGGAGGAGCCCTCAGAGTCCTCTGCACTGAGGTCCCACCACCCAGGTCTCTGCGGGCCCCACCAGAGCCAGCACCAGCTGGAGGCCAGAGTGGGCAGCCCGGGAGGCGGTGGGTAGGCTGGGCTAGAAGGGAAGGCACCGTCATTCCACGTGGCCACTTGCACGGACCTTTGGGGAAGGTAGCAGTGATGACGGTTCAGATCAAGGAATGCTTGATCTGAACATGCACGTGCATGTGCTTTTCCGGGGTGTCTTTTAAATACTGGAAAGGTGAACTTATAAAACTGCCAGAAGCTAGGGTACCCCCTGGGCCTTACAGCCCACCTGGCCCCAGCCCCCAACCTCCACCCCTAATCCCTCCCACCACCAGCCCTCAACCCAGAGTTCACCCCCCACCCAACCCCTGATACCCTCTTCTCAAGGCCCCCTGTGCCCACCCCCCTCCTTGGCTTTCACACCCCCGGGGCTGTGGAGCACTTGGACCACCACCTGTCTGCTGCCACAGGCAGTGTCCAATGGATCCAGAAATGCCAGCTGTGTGGGAAGAGCTTTCCCAGAGGAAAGGATGTGGTGGGGAGACCACCCAGAGGGGCAGCTCTCCCCCTCCAGACCTAGGCCCCACTTTCTCCTGTCTCCCCTCCCCCACCCAAGGCTCTTGAAAGGACCTCTTCACTTGGTTCTGGAACAGAAGATGCTTCTTTCCTCCAGACGCAGATGAGGGGCTGGGAGAGGCACTTGGGGAAAGGCTTTGCCAGCAGACTGTGGGAGTCACGGGGGTGTCCATCCTGGGGGGAGGACCAGGTAGGCTCTGTGAGAGCCTCTTAGAGAGGGCTGGGGGGCTGAGGGGTGGGGTTTGTTCCCTGAGGGTTTGGGGGAGCCTCCCAAAACTTATCCGAGATCCCTAGAACAAACATCTGAGCCCCCAAGAGGAAGGGGTGCATCCTCTGGGCGCTGCTAGGGAGGCTGTCAAGGTCAGTGGGGAGCAAGAGAGGGGGTCCCCAGGGCAGTGGTGTCAGGATGCGAGGGCCCCCACAATTCTGTGGTTCATGACCTGGGGCGTTCCTAAGGTGGGACCTGCCGGGCCCATTATTACTAACAGATTCCTTTCAAACTTCAGAATACTTGACCTTGTTCTAAAGCACGTTATAAAAATTGCCTTTAGTTCAGGAGCTGTGGTGCTGGCTTGAAAGAGAGGGGAGTAGGTCCCCTGCTGTCAGTCTGACATGTGAGCCCCTGGGGAGGGGTCTTCAGGCAGCCAGTTGAGGCTAATGGACACATGCTATGACCAATTTTGGAGCTTTAATGGCAAGTCCACAGGCTGAGGCTTGTTCCAGTGAAAGCCTAATGCACGGGTCCCCTCCCAGACATCTCCCCGTGGGTCAGTATCTCCTGTGGTTTGAAGAGAACTAACGTTTCAGAAAGTAATTTGAAAAACCCGCCCTGAATCCAGGGTCGGCCTGGTGTCAGGGCAGCCGCACGTTCCCATCTCGGGGTGACAGCCTGCTCACAGTGGGCCCCTCACTGAGCCCCAGCGCCCGAGCAGCCGGGGGTGGGCATGTGGGCCGGAGCTGGGGCCCCAGTCTCCGGGGGTCTGCTGACATCGGGATGACAGAGCCCAGTGAAACTGCCCTTGTCCCCTCACATGCACAGACCTCTGAATGGGAGCACTGGGTTTTGGGGCTCTCAGGACATTCTCCTGAAAGAATGAGGGGCCCCATGCAGTTTGCAGCAGGGGAGCTCTAAGAGGACCCTCTCGTGGCAGCCGGGGAGTAACCTGTGGGTAGAAGGTTCAGGTCTTAGTCTTGCTGCTCTAACCAAGCACCAGAGGCTGTGGGGTTTATAAACCATGGAGGACGGAAGTCCCAGTTCAGGATACCCATGTGGTCGAGTTCTGGTGAGAGCCCCCTTCCGGGTGACAGACGGCCTTCTCTCTGTGTCCACGTGTTGCAGAAAGCAGGCAAGGCTGCTCTCCAGGGTCCCTTTTATCAGAGCACAGATCCCATTCCTGAGGGCTCTGCCCTCCTTGACCTCCTAGATCACCTCCCAGAGGTCATATTTCTAATCCCATCATGCAGGGCGCGGGGTGGGGGGTTGGGGGGGTGAGGGCTTCCGCATCAGGATTTTGGAGGGACACAGGCGGCCCACTGCTATTCACACGGTCTAGTTGAAAGCCATCCTCACGTCCAGGATGGAAGGAGGCAGTGGCGGTGGCAGAACTGGAGAGAGGCCCACTTGGACTGGGAGGGACAGCCTTCGGGGGTAAGTTGGTTATGAGGGAAGGATGAAATGGTGCTTATGTAGAGGGAGAGGGGGCGCTCCTCAGGGGCACCTTTCAGGGTCACCAGCATGTTCTGAGGGTATTTGGGGCTGTCAATTTGGAACGGAACCAGTCTGCCTTGTTGAGCAGCTCCGGCTCTTTCCAGCTGCAGGCTTGCAGGTGGCTGGAGTTGTTCCGCGGCCCTGAAGCCCACAGGTGGGACGTGGGGCAGGGAGTCGTGGGTGTTGGGCAGATGTTATGGGACTGGTAGACAGTGGCATCCAGGCTTTTGGCAAGTCGATGCTTTTAGCAGCAGAGAGGGTCAGAGGGGAGAACACGGTTCCCCACAGCTGGCTGAGGGTTGGGGTCCGGAGAGAACTGCGGGCCACGGAGACCAGCCAGCCAGCCCTGTGGACCCTGGAGTGAGGGGGAGCCTGAGAGTCAGAGCCAAGGTCCCTCAGAAGGAGGGGTCTGGCCGAGAGGCAGGCAGGGAGAAAGAAGGCAGTGACTTGGAAAGGAAGGTAGTGGGTCTCAGAGGAAGGCCGCATGATGGTCTGTGGGTTACAGGCTGTGGACCCGGGGCCAAACGCTCCCAGCCACCCGGGTCCATGTATGAGGTTTTCCAGAGCCTGCTCATAGATAGACAGACGTGCCTGCTCATAGACAGATGGCCTGGGCCTGCTTTTGTCCTCTGGATGCTGAGGTGACTCGTTGGACCCAGACTGCAAAGCCTAAGATATTTTCCATCTAGCTCCCTGCAGAAAAGTTTTGCTGACCCTACCTATCGCTGCCTGTCCAGGACAGGAGTCACTAGCCACATTGGCAATTTCTGGGTAAATTACTTAGATTGCATGAAATTTAAAAATTCATTTCCTCTTGCAGTAGCCCCAGATCAAGTACTCCAAAGCCACACATGGCTAGCGGTCCCCGTATTAAACAGCACCAGGATAGAACATTCTACATCATGGCAGAAAGTTCCATTGACAGCACTGGTCTAGAAGCAGCAGAGGAGAGCAAGAGCTGCTGAGCTCCCTGAGCTGCTGAGCAAGAGCTCCCTACACCTCAGATCCAGCCTGGATCTGAGGTGTAGGGAATGAGAGGACCCACCCAGGCAGGCATGTGACAGGACCAGAGCCCTACAGCACAGACGCGGAGGAGAAGGCCCCAGAAGAACTGGAGGATAGTGGGCAATTTCTGCTCCCTGTCCTGTTTCCAGAGGGCTCAGGGGTAAGCATGGAAATGCTGTCCAGTTTGGGAAAGTGCGTCTCTGGGATTGCAGCATATGGTTGTCACCTTAGAGGCTGAGATGCCCTGTGTGACAGTTGCCCAAGGTCCCGGAATTGTCCTCCCGAGCCATGCATGTGGACTTTTCTGGCCTGAGCATTGCATTTGCTTTCTTCCGTGTACCACACACGGTGTGGCGATGAGGGAAGGAGACTGGCCTTCCTCTGCTGACTGCGGATGGGCCGTGGGTCAGCCCTTTGCTTTCGTCCCCTGTCCCTGCGACCTTATTCCTTGGTCCTCTGGGAGAATGCTAACTGTGCCCTCATCAGTTCCAGGGCCCTGTGAACCAGAAGACCTCATTGATGGAATCATCTTTGCTGCCAACTACCTGGGGTCCACCCAGCTGCTCTCAGAACGTAACCCTTCCAAGAACATCAGAATGATGCAGGCACAGGAGGCCGTCAGCCGGGTCAAGGTACTGGTGGGCTCAGCGGTGCGCCGGTTTGGCCAAGTCAGCAACACTAATGGGGTCTGGCGGGAAGGGTGGGGTGGTCCGAGGAGATGCCCCCTCTGGGCAGGATAGGGTCTGTGGATGCTGCCAGCCCCTGGGGGCTGAGAAACCATGTTGGGCCCCTCGTCTGTCCTCGCTGTCCCCTGACCTTCTTCATGGAGGCACAGGGACACGAGATCATGGTGGTCTGAAGAAGAGAACACAGTACCCCGGGCCCTCCTGCTCCATACCTCAGTCCTGCTTCTCTGCCCAAGAGCCCAGTGCTTCTCTGCACTTCCCGGCCAGTGGCATCACTCCGTCCCGTCTCACCCCCTCAGATCCAAGCGGTTGTTGGTGATTCCCAGCGCCCGAGGGACGCGTGTGGGGGCCTCTCGTGGTCAGCGTGCGTGCTCGCTGACGTGGTGGCTACCCACCCCTCCTGCCCCCGTGGGGGGGCTTCCCCTGAGCACAGGGTCGGAGTCCCGGGGGCTTGACCCCAAGACCAAAATAACTTGGCTGCCCTTCCTTCTCTTCCTTTCTTTCTTCCTTCCTTTATCCGTTTTTCTTTTCTCTTACATGCTGCGCAGAGGATGCAAAAGGCCGCTAAAATCAAGAAGAAAGCGGTGTGTAGGGCTGAGGGCTTTGCCTGGGTTTCTGGGCCTCGTCCTGTGCAGTTTGGGAGGGTTCGGTGCTGTTTGCAGGAACACGCATCATGTGGCAAACAGCTTTTTCCTCGTCCCTGGGTGGATAAATGGTAGACTTTTGAACAAACTACAGACACTGGTGTGTGGGTTTTTTTTGTTTTGTTTTGTTTTAATTTTTAGCCATCCACTTACAGAAAAATCTAATCATTGCCCTTTTTCCAGATTTCTTGTTTATTCTCTCTCATGCTAGAACACGGCTAATGCCGCGACGTTCCTGTTTCACGCAGATGTTTTTACAGGTGACATTTGACACGGCCATGTGATGCATTTAGCACTTAGGTCCCCCGTACAAAATCAATTAAATTATTCTGATATTTAAAAACTCATTAGGCTTAATTTGTTAAATCAGGATGATGATGAGAAGGTCACTTTGCCCTCAAGATGCGTTCCCCACTGGAAAGGAAGGGTTGCTGCGGGGTGTCTGGGAGGCTCAGTAGGTTAAGCATTTGACTCTTGGTCTCCGCTCAGGTCTTGCTCTAAGGCTGGTGAGCTGAGGCCCCACATCGGTCTCCACGCCCAGCAAGCAGTGTGCTTTAAAAAAAAAAAAGGGTTGGGGGCACAGAGTTTCTGGGCATGAGCCAACTTAAAAAAAAAAACAAAAACACGTTGACCTCCAGTCATTTGTTTGTGAGCCTGGTCACTTAGTAAACGCTCGGTCCTCTTAATATAGGAAATCTCAAATGTTCAGTGTTAAAAGACACTGATTTGCTGCCCTTTAAGCTTGTCGCTTAAAGGGCAAGAGATTCAATCCTCTTTTCACCACCTGAACAGCATTTTCTGGGTCTGGGCACTCACTTCCTCCTGTGATGAGACTTCTCTCCCTATGATGATATTTGCTCTTTGCCCGGTGGTGTCTCCTTGGATTCCTTGAGCTGTAGGAGAGGAAGGAACTCACCTATCTCCCTCCTCCCAGCGAGCCTTCTGCTAGGCGCCTCCAGGCAGTGGAGATGGGCCTGGCTTTGCAGAGCGCTAGCTGGGGTATGCTTCCCTCCCAAGGGAAAGGGGCTCCCAGCCTTTGGTTTGTCCAGGGCAACTCTGGGCTGCCCAAGCACCAGGAGGCTGGAGCGGGGCTCTGGTCCTCAGTATGCCATTCAGGGAGCCCAAAGGGGCTCCAGGGAGCAGGCGGGTCTAGCCCAGAACAGCCTCCAGACTTGCTGAGGCGAGCTGGTTAGATCCCTGGAGAGCTGTTCTTCCCAAACCCAGGGCTCCTATTCTGGTCTGCTCACGTCTGGCCAGGCAAGCGCTGAGAGGAGGATGCGTCACGAGTCTGGGACCAGGAGGAAGCAGCGTCCCCCACACAGCTAACCTGGAGTGACTATGGGGTCATGGCTCCCCATCCACAGACATACCCACCCCGTTGTCTGGTGGCCTCTCTTGGATTCCTGCTGTTGACACACCCCCTTTCTTCTAGCAGAGAGCGTGGCGGGACGAGCTTTGCTATCGTCTGATACCGATCTGGTTTTGGCTTTCTCCATTCACCCCCAGTTCGAGCCCAGTCCCCTGCACGTTTGTCCCTCTTCTCCCATCAAGGGCGCAGCACTCGAGCTTCCTCCAGAAATTGTCACTAAAACCCAGTCCACCTGCAACTTTTCTTCTTTTTCTTCTTCTTCTTCTTTTTTTTTTTCCCCTTCTGGCCAAACCTACTTTTTCAAGCAAGAGGGTTTTGAGGAACAATCCCATAATATGTAAAGTTTGAAAGCATGTGGACATACGTGCTTAGACATACATGTTAGAATATAACCTGGTTTTTCAAATCAGAGGAAAAGTAGTTCCTCTACGTTCTTGCTATTTTCTTTTTTTTTTTTTAAGATTTTATTTATTTATTTGACAGAGATCACAAGTAGGCAGAGAGGCAGGCAGAGAGAGAGGGGGAAGCAGGCTCCCCGCTGAGCAGATAGCCCGATGCGGGGCTCGATCCCAGGATCCTGAGATCATGACCTGAGCCGAAGGCTGAGGCTTAAACCACTGAGCCACCCAGGCGCCCCACGTTCCTGCTATTTTCAACTGCATTATTTTGAACTGTATTTTTTTCTTCTTTTAAAATCAATTGAAAGCAGTGTCACCTCAGGGTGGGCTGATGACCATGAAGTATTTCTTACCTCAGTGGGTAAACTGAAAGTATTTGTATTTCATTGCCACTGTGCAGTAGTAATTAAAATTCCCATGGTTGTAAAAACCAATGAAAAGCTGTCCTGGTTTAGAGCAGACCCTGAATAAATAGTTCACCCAGCTTCTAGAACATTCCATGGACACATAAGCAATGGCCATAAGATGAACACACTCCAGGAGCTGACAAAACAGGGGGCATTTGTGTGACAGCATCTTCTGGTTTTTCCCATGTTGCTGAGAGGGCAGCACTGAGTCCTACTGGGGTCTTGCTTCCCTTAGGGTTTTTGGAAGATCAGCATTAAGCCTGCTGGGGGGTTGACATAACTAGGACTATTTAAATCAGAAGAAGATGCTGATGATCTAATCCAATGCCTTTGAAAATTTCTTCCCCATTTCTGGGGATATTTGGAATCCCAAATCCCGGAAACGTGTGCAGCGCGAGTACACAGACCCTGTGCCTTTACCGAGTTTGATAAGCGTCGGCAGGCAGGCCTACTTTTTAGGGAGTGGAGGGGCTGCGCTTTGGATGCTGGGACCCAAGACCCCAGGCGTCCGGCCCCCCTCCATGCTCAGGCTTCCGGAAGCTGTCTCCTCCCTCCTTCTTCACGCCCTGTGCAAACTGCCTTCAGAACTCAGTTCGCTAGAGATTGTGCTGGAAGGCGGCATGCAATTGAGATTTCCCAGGGCTGCTTCCAGCCGGAGAGGCATTTCCCTCTAGGGGCGCTCAGGGTCATTAGTAAAATTGTCAGGCCTTTGTTCAAGTTAGGTTTTTGGTTTTTGTTTTTTGTTGTTTTTTTTGTTTCATTCATTTGTAACAGTATCCACTGTCCTTTCTTAGAATTCCGAGGGGGATGCCCAGACCCTGACCGAAGTGGATCTCTTCATCTCCACCCAGAGGATCAAGGTGTTAAATGCGGACACACAGGTAAGCGCTTTAAAGACCGTTGTTTAAAATCATGTCATTGAACCCCTAACGTCCCACCTCAGGAACCAGGAGAACGAGGTCTGGCTGCGGGAGAACTTTCCCTCTGGGAGTGAGCTGAAGGGCTGTCCCCGAGGATAGTCGCTGCGGACCTCGCGGCTTGAATGGGATGTGGCTATGAAATCTGGGGCGAGCTGCGGGGGCCGAGAAAACCCTGCGGTGTCCTGTGGTGTAGGTGTGCTGCAGCCCGGATTAAGGAGGCAAAATGAAGGGGAAGGTGTGGGGAGTCGGAAGCTGTGTGCTCACCATCAGGGTTCTAGAAGGGCCTTCTGGAAACCTGGGCATGCCAGGCCTGGGGAATGGAGCAGGAAGGTGGAAAGGCCGTGTGAGCCCTTGGCCTTCTGAGAGGGTGGTGCTCCACCAAAGGGGTGTTTTGGGGGGAACTGTCTTAAGATTTTTCTACCTGTGAACCATTGTGCCCTGGCCAGCTTCTGCTCATTTTTCCTGGGCCTTCATCACTGCTGTTGGTGGAGAAAACAGATCCGTGAGGAACAAGTGAGCCGTGCCAGATAGAAAGGCCCACGTGCCGAAGAGGAAGAGGGCAGGAGGCCAGCGGCATGGGGCAGAGGGCGGGAGGGGTCGGGAAGGCTTCGGGCAGTGCCCTGTGCCTGAAGTTTGCTGGGGAAAGGGAGGCTCCACTCACGTCCATTCCTAGGCCCGTGGGAGGAGGGCCAGATGCCGGGGTAATGACCCCTTTGCTTCTTTGTCCTCAGCGAGTAATCTGTGTGCTGACTGTCCGGATGTGTGGGGACCCTGTTCCCTGATACCCATTTTGCCTGCAGGTTTTGGCACAAGGGATCATCTTGCTTGTGTTGGTTCTAACACCGGAAGTGCAAAACTGGTGCATTTCCTAATTATGTCACGTTCTCCACTTTTTATTATTGCACCTGACCCGAGGCAGACCTTTTGTTTCTTTCTCTCTCTCTTCACTGTGGACCGATGGATTTTTTTTTTTTTTTTGTAACTTGTGTTATTCTTTTTGGGGCTCTGGTGATCCCCAGTTGGACCTTTAAACTGGGTCCTGGGTGGTTTGGACATCTTCACTTTAGTCGCTGATCACGTCCTTGCTTTCTGAGGCAGTGAGCTGTTCCGAGCTCCCCTGATGCTTCCCCAGCCGCAGACCTGGGATCGGCCGTTCCTTTGAGGAGTCCCACGCACTTTCTTTCTGTGGGGAACAATATTACAGAAACAAAGATCCGGGCACTGGCCGCGCCCATGGTCGCAGGGGTCTCATTGTTTCTGGGGCTTTGCCACGAGCGGAGCTAGACAGTATATGTGTTCTAAAAAGCCCAGAGTTCACACTCGTCCCTCTGTCTGCCCGGGATCTGTGGCCACAAGTGCTGAAGAGCACCCTCGGCGATTTCCAGACCAGTCCCCCTTCCTGAAAAGTGGCTCTTGTGGCTTGAAACCCCCACCCCACCCCACCCCACCCCACCCGGCCTTGGCCAGGAAACAAATCAGCTCCTGGAAGACAGACGCGGGGTAATATCTGCTGTAAAAGTAGATTCTGTGAGGAAGAAAAGAGGCTTCCAAGGTTGCAGAAGCAGCCAAATCTTCTTTTGTGGAAAAAGCACAAAGGCATAAAAGACCAACTGATTAGTTTCTCAGAGCCTTTGTGTGCAGCCTTGTTACGTAGGGGTCACGAGCACGATGCTCAGGGGAGATTCCTGGCAGATGACAAAAGCCATCAAGAGTAATGGACCTGCCAGGAGCCGAGGGAATTGAATGGCCAGAGACCCATCAATCAGTCAGGGGAGCTGCCTCAGTGTCCCCTGACGGGGGACTGCCCTGCTTGGGCTCGCCGGGAAGAACTCATCCGTGGAAAACTTTGGCCTCAGAGCCTTCCTCAGCTGCTAGGGAGAAGCACATGGCTTGCGGAGAAGGGACCCCTCTCCAGAGCCACAGATTGCCTTGCCAGCTGCCCCCCTTCCCCCAGCAGGGACAAGAGTGGCCCCTGACCTCGTGCCTGCAAGAAACAGTGGGAGGGTGCTGTGGGGCAAAGGCAGAGTCACCTTGACTGTGCATCACTGCCCTCGAACGCCATGTTCCCTAGAGCAGTGATTGTCAACCAGGGTGATGTTGTCCCCCACGGGGGCATTTGGAAATATTTCTGGTGGCCACAACTTAGCAAGGGGGCGATGCTACTGGCATCTAGCCAGGAGAGGTCAGGGGTGCCACTAATCATCCTACAGTGTGTGGGACAGCCCTTCACCATACAGGAGGACCCACCCCAAAGGGCATCAGCGTCGAGGCCAAGAAATCCCGAACTTGAGTGTGTTGTGATGGCTTGTTCTCCCTAATGTTCCCTAATGTGGATCCGCCCCGCTCCTGACAGGAGACTATGATGGACCACGCCTTGCGCACCATCTCCTACATCGCAGACATTGGGAATATCGTGGTGCTGATGGCCAGGCGCCGCATGCCCCGGTCGGCCTCGCAGGACTGTATCGAGACCACCCCTGGGGCCCAGGAGGGGAAGAAGCAGTACAAGATGATCTGCCACGTGTTCGAGTCTGAGGACGTAAGTAACCGCACGGGCACACAGGGCCCCTCCCGGCGGACCCGACCTCACCAGCGCCCCTGCGGCATCCCAGGCTCTTCGGAAACTGCGCCTCAGGTGGAAATCTGGTGCACTGTCATTGATGTCTCCGGTGGAATCAGAATTTTGGGGGTTTTTTTTTTGTTTGTTTTTCCTAACATTCAGAGTTTGCGAAGAGAGTGAACATAGTTTTATTTCACGTCGTGAAATAATGTCCTTCAGGGCTGTTTGTAAATTGAATGTGGTTGAACAGGCCAGGGGCGCTAACAAATTACTCCTGACTTTTTGGTGGTTAAGATGTGCATTTTCACACGCCAGGCTTGCATACAAGGAAGCAATGTTTGTGCCCAAGGAACGGCTCTGCTTTTGCTCATGGCCATTTCATGTCATAATTCAAAATACTTCACACTCACTAAGAGACCATGAACCCCTTGACTCTTTCCTTCAGTGGGATGAGAGCATCTTTCTGAGCCTGGAGCTGGGAGAAGGGAACCGGAGAAGGGAGCAGGGGGCCAAGTGGTGAGCACAGGAGACTTTGGGCTAGGTCTCTCTGCTGCCCCCTGGCGGGCAGATCTTGTGGGTGTTGCCAGAGGAGAATTTTGAAAGCCAATCCTCCCTGGATTTTTGGAAAGGGGCATTCTTGTTCACATATGGGCTTGCAGGGCAGGGACCTGAAGCGGAAGGGAACGGCCCCCAGATTTTTGTATGTGAAGGCAAGACTGAGGTAGAGTCCTCCTTTTGCTAAGCAGTTGAAGTCATCTAGAAGTGCTTTGAAGCAATGGTATGTTGATGGGAGAAGAAATTTAAACACAGACCCGCTGGTGCATACACAGATTCTTCTCCCCATGATCCAGATCCCCTTGGGCACCTGGATGGGCACTTCCATGGGACTCAGGGCTAGAGGACGTCTTAGAGATCTGGTGAGGAGAGATGGGTCCTCAGGAAGGGCTGTGAGTGATGGGCAGGGCAAGGCCAGTGGCAAATGGTGAGCAGCCTGCTGGCAGAGAAGTCACAGGAGCAGGGAACACCATGGGGCTCCGAGCTGCCAGCCCCTGTGGATGGCTGCGGGCCGAGGGCTAGAGTCAGAGGTGCTCTTGTCTGGAGGTGAGCATTAGTGGGACTCTGAGTGGTCCTTAAAGGATTGAGGGCAGGACCCTCCTGGTAGGGTGTGTGTGGGAATACTCAGCAGTTGCCCAGAGCATAGAACCTGGATGGTAGCTCCATCCGGGGGGCTGCTGGGGATGAGTAAGGGGTCTGAGGGTCTGCTGGCAGCAGATGGAACACCTGGAGAAAATGAAAAGTGGCAGTAAGGATACCAGGGGCTCATTCTGAGACTCAGTTTCCCTCTATGAGATGGAGCTCAGGCACTCCAGGACTGAAGCCAGGGTATATGACCCACACAGGCGAAAGTGCTAAGGCAAAGGAGTGCTGAGGTATGGCAGCTCCCATTCCACTCACCTCACCTCCTGCAGGAGGCCGCCTCTGAGTGCCAAGCTGCCAATGCCAACCCTTCTCTGAGCCCCTTATACTCCCCGCTGCCTGAGCAGGGCTCCTGGCTTCACAGCATTGAACACCCACAGGCCCTGGCTGTGAGCTGGGGTGGGGGGGAGACAGGGGAGCCCCTTGTCTGCAGGGTTTCCAGTGTGGCCCCCAGGCCGGCTGGGAGGGACACTAGGACATGGGGCAGATGGGGAAATGGGAGACTGCCCCCAGCTGTTGGTGGGGAAGTGCCTAGAGTTCCTGGATTGCACAGTGAAGGGCCTCACTGTCCCCAGGAGCTTCTATGGGTTGGGGTGGGGCACCAAGGCAAAGCCCCAGGCAGAGCCCCAAGGCATCAGACAGCACCACCAGGCGATCACCAGGGTGAAGGGAGCAATGCTCTCAGAACCCCTCCCTGTCAGAGGACTACAGTCAGGTGAGGACAGACACGGAGGCCTGGGGGCAGCCGGCAGCAAGCCTTGGGACCCCAGTGGGGCATGGCAGGTCCTGGGCTCTCATTCATCCCCCCACCTTCTTCTGGCCTCTTCCCGAGGTCTCACTCCCAGATTCTGCCAGAGCCCCGGCTGTTGCTCTGCTGCTCTCCAGTGCACCATCTCTGGGCTCTCCACCCTTTAGTCCACATGTGCCCAGGCTGGGGTGTCCCCTGGTGGCCTCCAGGGAAGGCAGCTCTGGCCAGTCCGCCCTAAGCAGCCCAGCCAAAATGCTGGTTTTGGGAGCGATCAGGGCTTATTCCTGCCAAGTGAACATTGCCTGTCCTTCCTATAAACTATTCTGGGCCCAGTGTGGGAGAGCAGTTCAATCTAGACTCCTTACCTATTTCAGGAAAGCTTTCCACACTCCAGCTCAGCTTTTATTGTCCGGCCCAGCCCACATTGGTGCAAAGACATACTCATCTGTAGCACTTAAAGCATGCAGTGCTTTAAGTATAGAGGGAGAAAGAGATTTAAGCATTTGGGTCAAAACCGGAGGCAAAGCCTGGCCATGACTTTTCAATGTCCAGGACTCTGCAGTGTCAGAGATTCAATGATGTCCACACAAGTGGTTCCTTGTAGTGGAACGACATGCTTTGCTCTGTAGGGTCTGTACTGGTGTCTCCAGGTCTTGTGCTTCTCATCGGTGTCAGCCTGAAACAGCCACACCGTCCCCCACCCCCAAGAACAGCGGGACATACACCCTGCCTCCCCAGTTGACATTGGGTTCTGTTGCTAAAGAGACATAAATGTTGGGGAGACAGCTCAGTCTCTGTGACCTTCCTCCAAGAACACACACCTCAAGTCTATTTTTGGAATAAGATGGGAAGAAAGAAAATATAGTACGTTTTCCAGTTAAAGCAATGAAAATAAGATATTTAGCAAACAATCCATAATTTTTCTGGACTTTATTTGAAACTGTGCTTTGTCCTGGATGGTCTGGGACTTAAACGGCTCAGGTGGGAGCAGATAGGATCGGGCCCTGCTGAGTTCAAGGCAGCAGAGAGGCTCCCCCTAAGGTGGCTGACCGTGGGGTGTTGGCGGGAGGACAGCCATCACCAGAGGAGGGCCTGCAGTTTCTCTCTTGTTGCTTTAAGCCCAGGCAAGGGCCTATCCCAGGCTTACACGTGCCCCTGCACCCAGCTCTGTCACAGCCTCTCCTCTCCTGGATGCGTGGTGCCTGTGGTCCTGTGCTGGTCCCTAGTGGGCTTCTCCCTGCCCACAGGCCCAGCTGATCGCACAGTCCATTGGCCAGGCCTTCAGCGTGGCCTACCAGGAATTCCTGCGGGCCAATGGCATCAACCCCGAAGACCTGAGCCAGAAGGAGTACAGTGACATCATCAACACCCAAGAGATGTACAACGACGACCTCATCCACTTCTCCAACTCTGAGAACTGCAAGGAGGTGAGACACACACACCCTGGGCGGGCCACAGGATGCCACACTGCTGTGGCCCCTGCCGCCACCCACGCTGGGCCCCTGCACACCAGAGCCCCCTGACCTCCCACCACGATGCCCCGGAGCAGCTCACGCGAAGGGCCCTAGTGTGAATCCCCATCCTCACGGCAGAATGAAGCACTCCCCGGAATGTACATTTGTGCCTGCCTTTGGAGCTGAGCACTTGTGTGTGAAATGAGGTGTTGTTGTAACAAAGGAGCTGATTACAGTCAGTCTTAATGACCTTGAAAATGTGCCTTTTAATGCCGCTATTATCATCTGCTGGAGCTCAGCACCCAGGAGGTGTTTCTGAAAAGCATATAAGAAGCATTTTCAAAATGGGGAACTTCGGGGCACTGCTCAGGGGAAGGAATAATCAGACTGCTTGTTGAATGAATGAGTGAATGAATGAATGAATGAATGACTATTCCAGACTTACTGCTGAATGAATGACAGGCAGCTTTCTGAGGGTGATCCTTGGAGTGGAATGAAGGTAGGACTTCTCTAGATCAGAGCAAGAGCCGGGGGCAGATTTGAGCCCTGGAGTCTATCATTCTTCTCGCCTCCATGGGTTGGTGGGAGGTGAGAAGAGCAAGAGATAGGACCCTGGAGCCCCTCTGGGGCCTGGAGGGGTCCGTGCTGGGCATGGGCAGGAGGGCGTCTGTGTTCCTGGTTCAAACTTGGGAGCTAGAGCCAGGTAAGGCTGGAGTGGGGTGGTAGGTGCACAGGTCCCCGGCCCCCATCACGGGCACCTCTCACCGCTCATGTCCTTACAGCTGCAGCTGGAGAAGCACAAGGGCGAGATCCTGGGCGTGGTGGTGGTGGAGTCAGGCTGGGGCTCCATCCTGCCCACGGTGATCCTGGCGAACATGATGAACGGCGGCCCGGCAGCCCGCTCAGGGAAGCTGAGCATTGGGGACCAGATCATGTCCATCAACGGCACCAGCCTGGTGGGGCTGCCCCTTGCCACTTGTCAGGGCATCATCAAGGTGTGTACGCGGGCCCCCTGCCTTGTTTTATTCTCATTGCCTTGTCCTTGCCCGCTTGACACGTGAGGAAACAGGTCTGGAGAGACCCCAGCTGCCCTTGGGGGTGATAACGGGACATTTGGTTTCACTGATGCCATTTCTGAGGGACATGGACCCTAGGCAAGGGCTGAGGACCCCCAGATGCAGGGTGACCCAGCATGCGTGGGACTTTCGCAGACTAGCACCAAGAGTTCCATTTCCTGGGCACATGGGGAGGGTTGGTCCCCCTGCAGGGGTCTGAGAGCAGGGCTGGCGGCTCTGACCATCTGGCCGGTGAGCCTGCAGCTTTGGAAGATGCTGAGCTCCCGGTCCCTGCTGGGGGGTCCTCGTGCCTGGTTGCTCTGGCTCGAGAAGAGCCTTGGGACAGGAAGCTCAGAGAGGCGGCCCAGAGGCCTGGCACTCCTGTGCCTTTGCCCTGTTCAGGGTCTCCAGACGGTGGGTTCTGCCTGCTTGGGGGCAGCCCTTGGGCGTCCGTCAGCATTCTGCCCCCAGCCCCCTGTGGCTTGTTCCCTCCTCACCCGCTGCGGTCTTGGTGCTGGAGGACAGGCCTGTGTCCTCATCAGCCTGACAACTGAAGGGTGTTCAGAGGTTGCCTGCTGGGCGACCACCTGAGAAGACAGACGGTAGGCACAGCAGAGCCCTCAGCCCATGGGACCAGAGACTTCGTCTGCGGGGACTTAACCTCACAGCCATGGCCTGGGGCGCCTGCTGACAGTCACAGCCTCTCTGGGGCCTGAGGTCCCCCTTGGCTTCAGCTGGCCTAGTCTCGCTGTGGACACTGGGTCCTCTTGCTTACAGATTTTCACTGAGCCCCTCACTTCCCGTCCCCACCCCTGCCATTCGCACATTTTGTTTGGAGGAAGGCTTCCACCTGGTCCTTCCGTTTTTATCTTTTTTTTTTTTTAAAGATTTTATTTATTTTTTTGTCAGAGAGAAAGCACAAGTAGGAGAGAGGCGATAGAGACAGAGAGAAAAGCAAGCTCCCCGCTGAGCAAGGAGCCCAATGTAGGATTCCATCCCAGGACCCCGGGATCATGACGGGAGCTGAAGGCAGCCACTTAACTGACTGAGCCACCCAAGCATCCCCCTCCTGGTCCTTCTAAACAGAAGGTGCTCCTCCTGCATCCAGTGTTGGCTGGGGGCCCTTCCTGTGACCCCGGTGTTGTCCCACTGGTCATGCACGGTGGTGGGCAGGGCCTGGCCCCTGTCTCCACGAGCAGCTTGGTTTCAGCTGGGTCAGATGGCACATCAGAGTGCAGCGGGCCATGGCCTGCACTGCTGCCCAGGGTAGCCAGCCGCCCCACACACGGGTTGCACAGAGGGACCTGGAGGCCGAGAGGGGGCTGACCCACCGGCCTTGTTCCCCTGCATCCCCCACCCTGCCCGCCGACTCAGCCTCGGTGTGGGCCGGCGAGCACGTGCTCGTGGGTGGCATACGAGGCTCCCTGTGACTCCCGCCCCGTCCCGCAGGGTCTGAAGAACCAGACGCAGGTGAAGCTGAACATCGTCAGCTGTCCGCCGGTCACCACGGTCCTCATCAAGCGGCCTGACCTCAAGTACCAGCTGGGCTTCAGCGTGCAGAACGGGATTGTGAGTCCGCCCTCTCTGCCTTGGCCACCTCTACGGTGCATGTGTGGGCCTGGATGTAGGGAGCCGGTGGGGGGATGGGGCAGCTCTCCACCCCCCTGCCTCTGCAGCTGCTTCTGACGGCGCAGGCCCCGGTGGGTGGGCACCGCTGGGCGGGAGCTTTCAGCTCTTCCAGGAGCAGGTCTGGCCCGACTAGGGAGGGAGGGCTGGTGTGTGTCAGAGGAATGGGTGGGTCCCTCTAGGCCTGCTCGAAGCACCCTTGTCCCCGTGATGGCTGTTCCCTGCTGTTTCCAACCACTGCAATCTGGACACATCTGGCCGATGGCAACATCCTACTCTCTATGTTCAGCAAACAGATATTTACTCATTCACTCATTCATTCACCCATTCAGAGCCATTTATGAGGTGCCTGCACTGGGTAGGCACTAAGGAAGCAGAGGGCTTCCAGGAGGAGGTGATTCTGGGCTCAAGTGAGTATTAGTCTGCCCAAACATCTGTGCCTATTCCTCAGGCCGAAGCTCGTAGTTCAGGGTTCCTGCCTTTTCTTTAACCCGTCTTTGGCTGAAGTGAATGTTTCCTTGGTCCTTTCTCGTGCAAAGGTCCCAGTGGGCAAAGATGTGGCCACAGATGGAGGACAGAAGAGGTGAGGCCGGTCACTTCCACATTGCTTAAGCCAGCTTTGAGTCTTAAAGACCTGAGGAAGAGATCGTGCAGTTGGTGGGAGTCGTGTCAGGGGAGGGGAGATATGTATGGGTGCCCATGAGCATGGAAGAAACACAATGGGAGAACATTCTAGAAAGACAACTGTCAAGGAACAAAATTTTCCCTGTTGCTATCCAGGGCAGAAGTCTGGAGAGGTACTTGTGCTGGGGAGAGTCACAGGGCCATTTCTGTCCCTTCTGTGTTAGTGTGCCCTTGCTGGTGTAACAAATATTCTCTAAATCTCAGCATACTGAATTGGTTCCTCATTCAGGTCAGTCTGCTGTGGGGGAGGGGGGGTGGTCAGGTCAGTCTGCGTGCCCTCACCTGGGATTTGGAAGCCCGCACTAGCTGCTCTGTTTCTGGCCAGTAGCTGCAGGAAGATGGGGACATAGGTGCGGTCCTTGCCATTTCTAGCCACCCCTCCCTGGCCCGACAGGACTCAGTCCCACACCGCACAAAACATGGCAGGCTGGGAAGGTGGCCACCTGCTGCTTGTGACAAAGAGGGAAAGGGTATGGGGGCATCTAGGCAGCGCTGGCCAGACCTTCCTCGCTGTGTGACCCTGAGTGTGTCAGTTAACCTCTCTGGGCTCTTCTCAAGATGCGGCTGTGAGGGTTAATGGAGAAAATCCATAAAGCACACGAGACATGTAAAGAAGGCCCGGATTCTGCAGAGGAGAACGCCCCTTTGGCACTTGCACCCAGGCCTGGGGCTAGGTTGTCTGCAGCCCTCTGGGGACTTCTGTCCAGGTCAGGACCTCTGTCCCAGGAGCTGGCCGGGTGGGGGTGTGGCCTGACCCTGTCCCGCCCAGCCAGTCTGCTTACAGCGGGTGCCCTGGGCATAAGCAGCTGCTGGGAGCACGGTGTGGATGAGCTTGGGCCCCGTGATCGGGGAGGCGCCAGGTGGGGCCTTCTGACCTGCGGCCGACATGCTAAGCACTCACACAGGGCCTGCCTGGGAGCCACACTGCTGCTTCCAAGGAGCCTCCCTCCCATGTGGAGGAGGCTGCCGTGTGGTGGCAGAGAGAGCTGCCTCTTCTCAGGGACTGTGAGCCCAGGACAAGCCTGACGCCACCCCCTCCCCAAACCCCTGCCTCTCTTCAGCTTGTCTCATTACACCTGCCTGAGAAGGAGTGTGGGTCCTCTTGAGGAGGTGACCGCCACACAGAGAGGCTTAGTAACTGGTCCCAGGGCCCACAGCCAGGGAGGCCATCTGGGACTGTGGGGGAGAAGGTGGGGGCAGGGGGAGAGGAGAGGCAAGGAAGGAGCGCGGCTAAGTGGAAGCAGCAGGAGAGGAAGGGGACGCTGTGAGGTGAGGTGAGCAGCGGTGAGGGACAGGTACGGGGGTCTGAAGGGAAGCGTGAGGCTTCCTTCCCAGAGACAATGGAATGGAGGTGGCTGGGAAGAAGGCAGGATGGCTGACGGGGGGCTCTCCTGGGGAGGGTGAAGGGGGGTGGTCTCTGCAGGTGGGGACAGGCACGCTGGTCCATGTCAATGACTGCGAAGCTGAGGGCAGTGAGGCAGGCAGAGGCGCTTCTCTGAGAGCTTGGGAGAGGTGGGGAGAAGGGAGCAGCAGATCTAGGCTTTGGGGGTCTCAGAGCTGGGGGGGATGACACCCAGTTCTGCAGGCAGCATCGCCTGGGTTGTGCCTCCCTGGTCACTGACGTGCAGACAGGAGTCCTGAGGCAGAGTGCCGGTCACTTCTTGGTGCATTTGCCACGGGTCCAGAGTGCGTGTGAAGCTTGGGGCCTGGGGGTGACACCCCATGGATGAGAAGCAGCGGGGGGCTCGTGGCAGAAAGCTGGGGGCTGGGCTGGTTCTTGAGGACTTGCTCCCAAGTATGTGGCAGCTGGCCCTGCGGGCCCCCGGTTTGCTGTAGGTAAAGCAAACAAATCCGCAGGGTCTCTCCTGCCACAAGGCAGCCCCCCGGTGACCCAAAAAATGGGCAGCAGGTGGCTGCACAGATCAGTCCCCCATCTCCACTGGGCCCTGCAGCAGTGGCCTTCGGGTCAGCGGTGCCCAGGCTCTTCCTGCGCCTGCTCCGTGGTGTGCCCGTGCCATGGACAGGTGTGGGGTGTGGGGGCTGGCTGTCCAGGGTCAGTTCCCTGTGCGCTCAGAGGCCCTTGTACCAGGCAGCTGCTGCCACAGCCACCGCTCAGCCTGTGTCCCCTCATCTGTGGTGGCTGACGAGGGCCACAGGCTCGGTCATTCAGCGGGGGCCTTACGGGAGGAGTGTGTTTGGGAGAATGTTCAGGAAGCCCGAGGGTGCTGGCTCTTCTCAAGGGCTTGCTCTGGGGACAGAAGAGCTGGCTTTGCCCTTCACAGCATGGTCAGGGTGGACCTCGACTTCCTGCCCACCCAGCCTCCCCACAGGGGCCTGGCCTGGTCACTCTCCCCTCCCCTGTAGTCCCCTGCTGCCTCACAGTAGTGGAGCTGTCCCCTGGCTGGCACGTCTCTCACGACCAGTGGCCTCCCTGTCCCCATTGTCCTTGAGGCTCTCAGAGTTCCCCTTCGACCCTCACCAAGCCCCACACTTGGAGTCCCGGCTCCCGGGAAGCCCTCCACCTCCACCCTGCCTGACCACAGCAAGACTGGACGGTGGCAGGACGCCTGACTGGGAGATGGCATTAATCAGCTCCTGCGCACACCCCCTGTGGTTTTCTGCCCGATGACTATAGAAGCTTTTCCCATGGCAGGTGGCCAATGCCAACGTGCAGGGTAAGTGGTTAGAGGAAGGATGTCCCAGCACTGGGGCGTCTCAGGAAGTCTGGGTGCTGTCACGTGAGAGGTGAGAGGGAGGGGTCCTCTGCACAGCTGTCGGCATGTACATACGTATGTGTTTGCATACAGGTGTGCATTTACACACGTGCATGTGCACATACTGTGTACATGTGTGCACGCACACGTGTGTGTGTTTGGGAGAGGTGCTAGCCTGGGCACTGACCGCCTTCTGGAACTTGGCACAGCCTGCCTTTTCTCCAGAACGAGAGGCCCCGTGTGGCTAAGAAGCTGTATTGGGTTTTAGAATCGGCCTCCCTCACTTCAGCCCCAGCTCTCTCCTAGGACATCTGTTTCTTCTGTTTGTTTCAATTGTGGTAAAATCGATTAACATAACATTTACCATCTTAACCATTTCTAAGCGTCCAGTACGTTGTACAACCCTCTCAAGAAGTCTTCATTGTGGGAAAGGGGAACTCTGCGCCCATCAAACACCGACTCCCGTTCCTTTCTCCCAAGCCCAGCTTCTGGCAGTCAGCGTTGTACCTTCTGTCTCTCTGAACTTGACCGCACTATGTGCCTCGTAGACATAAGTGGGATCAGACAGTACTTGGCCTTTGGGGACTGGCCTTCTTTAACTTCCACCATAATGCCTTCAGGGCCCATCCACCTTGTAGCCTATGTCAGACTTTCACTCCTTTTCAGGGCTGAGTAATATTCCCATAGATGACTAGCCCACATTTCGCTTTTCCATGAATCTGTCAGTAGACACTGGGTTGCCTCCACCCCTGCCCCCCGCCCCATGGGAGTGAATCGTGCCGCGGTAACTTGGGTGTGTGGGACTTCTGTTTTTCCAGTTCTAGTTTCACTGTTGCAAATACTCCTAGGCCTCCTTATCCATCTGTCTGGGGCATCTGGCCATGCATCAGTTCTAGCAACCAGGAAATGCAGCTCTTCCCACAAGCCTCGGGCATCCTTGGGCCGCTGGTGTCTGCAAGGCTGGTCCTGTTAGGAAACAGCATTTTCTGTTACCATTTCACAGAGGACGAAGGAATAGGGAGGTCAAGGAACTTGCCCCGAGGCTCCCAGCTGGGAAGTGGCAGAGCAGGGATCAGGCCCGAGGCCAGCAGCTGTGAAGAGCGTGCCCACAGTCCCCGTTCATGCGAGGTGCCGGGAGGCAGTGGGTGAGCGTGTGCACGGTCTTAGCAGCCCTTGTGAGCAGCTCAGAGACTGAGACATTTGTACCGAAGGCTACAGCGTTAGTGACTCCCGTAAGTGTCCGCTGGGCCCTGATTACGGCTTCGGGGCTGGGCCCGCCAGTCTCTCCTCTCACTAAGAGTGCAGAGACCACTGTGCCTCCTGGCGAGTACGTGCCACACAGCCAAGTTCCCCCGAATCCTCCGGAAAAGTTTGCTGACATCTGAGTTAGTCTCGCACAAGTGCTTTTTCCATTTTCAACTCCATTACACCCAATGTACAATGCATTAGTTTGCAGACAGGCCCCGGATGACCCAGTTAGCGCTATTTCTAAAAGGATCCTTCCTCTCTCTTTCCACACCACCATTCAGGACATCAGAAAGTCTCCGCTGGGAGACACCGGCCTTCTCCCCCGCAGAAGTGCACCCCATGAGGTTGGAACACACCTCGGTTCCTGTGGACATGCCTCGTCCGGGAAGGCCAGGACCCGTGTGTGTGCGTGCACACGGCCTTCTCCTCAGCATGTCCTGCCCCGCTTCTGTCCTCTCCCCCTGCCTGCCCCCCAGATTCCGGCTGGCCATTCCTTCTAAAGGTGCAAAGCCATTGTTTCCTGCTGCTTCTCACTTTCTTTCCCTGAATCTCATGACTAGGGAGGAGGCTGCTGGCAGGGACAGAACCAAGATTGCAGCATCCACGGCTGTCCCGGCTTCTTTGCTGGGGAGCGCGCGGGGCCCTGCCTGACACTGGTCAGGCTGGGAAATGAGCTTGGTCACCGTGAAACACCTTCCTTGGGACTTTCAAAGAGCCAGTTTCAGTGGGCACAGAATGCCCTCGGATCGTCTCGGGGCGGGGAGACAAGGAATGGAATTCTCCTTAATTCTCGTACGGAGAACTAGGCAGTCAGGCCACCCTGCGTCCCTCTCTCTGCCAGTCCCCTGGTCGACCCCAACTGACCTGAGTGCTCAGGTTCCAGGACTGTGGCCTGCTCTGCTGCAGGAGTCCACTCGGCTGGGCCTGTGACCTCAGACTGCACATATGTCCTGTACTGGAAAGACAGAAATCCCGAGGGATGGGAAGGATGCAGATGGTTGGTTGAGAAAGGCCTGTGGCATCAGTGATGAGGCAAAATCTGCAAAACAGAGGACAGATGGGAATCCTGCATACGGTGCCAGGGTCAGCCTGTGGTCAGTGGCCTTGTGAGTCTGTCTCAGCTTCAAACGTTGCCATGCCAGGTCCTGAGGTGGGGGGAGAGGAGGAGGGAGAGCTGTACTGTCTAAGGGGGAGCGTCGTCCCCCAGCAGCCCCGGAAATCAGAGGCCCTAGCTAAATGAGCAGGCCAGGCCAGGGGTTGGATGCGAGGTGGCTGTGACACAGGCCGGAGTCCCAGGGATGCAGGCAGGAGGGCATTCCCCAGGAGGTCCAGAGGAGAGTCCTGGATAATGACAAGACTTGCCATGGAATGAGAAGAACCGTGAGGCAGAGAGAGAGGGCTTGGCTGTCCTGCCTGCTTTGAACACCCCCCCTGGTTGTGCCTCCTGCGGGCAGGCTGACCTTTGATGTCTTAGGGCACTGACCCGAATCACCCTTCCTGATTCTGGGCTAGGGTCCCCTGCCGCCTCAAGTATGAAGATGTCTTAAAAGTGACCAAATCCTCAAGGAGACAGGGGCTGTAATCATGGTGCTTTCAAATTAAGGAAACCATAAGGACAAGGCCCAGTTCACCATGAATTTGGTGGGGGCTCTAGATGACATGGGGTGGCTCCCGGGCACCTAGGGGACAGGGTCCAGACAGCCTGGCTCCGGGCTGGGCCTTCCTCATTCTCTAGCATGGCTGGTGGGGTGCGGCCCTCTGGGGCTGCTGCGCTGAAGCTGGGGAGGGGGCACCCGGGGTCTGGCCAGTGCTGGCCGAGGGACCCCAGGTCAGAAAGAGACCTCCGGCAGTGGGTGGGCCCTCAGGAAACCTCAACCCCAGGGTCCCTGCTGTTGGACCTATTTCTGCCCCTGCCTTGGGTTGTTGGAAGCAGCATGGGGTTCAGGGACCTGGTGTCTCCTCTGCTCCCTCCCACCACAGCATCCCCAGGACTTCAGCATCGGGGTGCAGCTGGCCCCCTTCTCCCGTGAGCCGGCAACTCTCACCCTCCAGGGTCCGCTGCCATCTCCCCGTTGTCTGGGCAGGCATCCACCCTTCTGATGGCCTGATAGTTAGTGAATTCCACACATGGGTGGATTTCACAAGCTCAAAGCCTTCCTCGTCCTTTCCCCAAACTCTTTCCATTTGTTGGCTCGTGAATTCATCACCTCCTTGTGAGATGGAGACAGTGACTTCTTAGCTTGTAAGAGGAGCAGAAGGGAGCCGGTGGGGAATCTTCCAGAATGTGCTCCCGCTGTACACACCACCAGCCCTCCACACTCCCCTGACACAGGAACTGAGGCCCTGGGATGGCTGGAGGGGTGGGGGGCAGATCCCCCAAGGGCCTGCAAGGTTCTCCCACAGGCCATGCTGTTGATTTGTGTGTTTTAACCTAGTCCCAATCATAGATGTCCCTGACGGTAAGTCAGCAGTGGCATGCAGAAGCATTTGTCCTGTGGGCCTCTCCCTCTGCGTGCTCAATGTCCCTGCTTCCAGTTTGGGGATGGCGGTGAGCTCCTGGCAGGTGTGGTAGGGACTCGTGTGCTGACTTGACATGTGTCTGCTTAGATCTGCAGCCTCATGCGAGGGGGAATTGCAGAGCGAGGAGGCGTCCGAGTTGGCCACCGCATCATCGAGATCAACGGGCAGAGTGTGGTGGCCACGGCCCACGAGAAGATCGTCCAGGCTCTCTCTAACTCGGTGGGAGAGGTAAGGCCATGCCCCGTCACCTTGCTGGAGCCAGAGCCGGAGCTGGGGCCGTCTGAGCCCTACGTTTCCGTGACCAACATCTATGCCCCCGAGAGGGTTTCCAGGAGGTGCTCGGGCAAGCCACTGACCCCTTCCTAGGAAAACCTTCCTTCTCAAGAGAGCCTGTCCTTGCTGGGAACTTGGAGCATGCCTCTGCTGGTCCTGCGTGCCCACCTTGACCTCTGCCAGTCACTCCCTGTGCAGGGGGCCCTGGGCATCTGCTGAGCCGGGGGCTGTGTCTCTCACCCAGGGCGCGCCTGTGACAAGGCTGAGCAGATGGTAGGCGCCATTCGGCTGTTCGTTCCGGCTCTGTGCTGTGGATGGGACGGCGAAGGTGGTTGACACCAGCTCTGGAATGGGGTCTTGCACGCTCCATGCGGAAGCCCTGCCCTCTGCAGGACTTATCCTCCCGGGCACAAGGCTCTGGTCCAGGGTTCGCCCCTCTGCCCGCTTCCTGCCATCTTCCTGCCCATGGAGCAGGCCAGTCATGGCTGCTCCCTTTCCTGCATTGCTGGCTTTAAACTTTCTCCGTTTCCACTTCTTTCTGGCAGCCAGCTTGAGGTGGACGAGGGTCATAGCGGAAGGGCCCAGGTTTCCTCAAGAACTCATAAGTGAACAGGGTAATTGGGGATGAGAAGATGCTGAGTCCGTGCAACCAGTGTCTAGAAGGAGGACTCCCACAGAGGCTAGTGTGTGGGGGTATTAGTGGCAATGGGGGCATGCGAAGAGGAGAGTCAGGACAAACGCGGTGAGGGTCTCCGCGGGAGAAGCGTGGGAGGCCAAGACCATGGCAGAGGTGGGTGGGAAGAGGGACCAGTTGCAAAGGGCCTAGGTGTTGGGTGGGAGTTCACATTTGATTCTCAGGGCGGTGGGGGGGCCCCAGGTGGCAGTGGGGAAGAGGGTGTGGCTTCCATCTTGGTGGCCATGGCGGGGGGAGGGGGGAGGGGGAGAGAGATGGAGAGCTTGGCCCCTGGGTGAGTAGGTGGGTGCTGTTTCTGAGGGGGCTTTTGGCCACATTTCCTGGGTTCCTACTCTGTATTTTGTAAAACTACCAGGCTTAGGGAGGAGGCCTGTTTTCCTGGGGTTCAGTGGTAGCAGATGGCTGACTTTCAAGGTTGGGGTGGGGGGCAGGTAGGCACCATTAGCCTCCTTTTACAAATGGCTTCAAAGAAAGGAAAATCCAATTTTCCTAAGTGGATGTTTGAAATGGCCGCCCCACTGGGGCGATCAGTCTCACACGCCTACAAAGAAACCAGTCGGGCAGGGGAGAAATGTTTCCAAGTCTTCAGACTTGGACCTGAGATGAAGTGGTACCCAAAAAGGCAGAGAGGCAGCTGAGGGTGTGGCTGGGCGATGGAAGTGTCTGCCTGCTGTCTCCCAGCATCCCTGAGCACATGTGCAAAATCAGTCCCTGATAACAAGACATGGGGTTTTCGATGGTTTTCAGATTGAGGAACGACACAGAATGTTCTGATGGAAGAAACCATACTGGGCAGTGATGGGGGCATTAAAATCTAAATTGAGTATGTGGATCTTGGTGGTGGGGGCCGGCCGGGAGCACAGGACATTGTGAAAACTCCCTGCACAGCTGTCCTCTCTCTGGGTTGGTCGGATGGGGGCCTGAGACCCGCTTGCTGGAGGAGGGGCGGTCCTAGGGCGGCCACACCATGCCCCCCGCCGCCACTGGCTACCTCTTGCTGGGTACCGGGGGTGTGAGGCCCGCAGCGCCCAGGCCATCCAGATGTCCCAGAGCTGCAAGGCCTGAGTCTGGCATAGACCTGGGAACAGGGTACTAAGAGGGGAGCAGAGCAGCAGAAGCATGGCCCAGCTCCTGGGCTTCCACTGGTTTAACTCTTCCTTCTAGAACCATCACGGTGGGGGGGCGGGGTGATGGAAGTCCCACAAGCTGAGTCTCCCTGGAGAGTTATCTTGAGCCATGCCTGGCTACCCAGCTACTTGGTGCCAGCGAGTGATGGCTCCGATGGCTCATTTGCTAACTGACCCTGGAAGGATAAGGTGAGAGCAAGGCCGCTGGCCCTCAGTGAGCAAGTTCTCCGACCCCAGAACACTCATGTTCCCAGGCTTCCTGGAAGCTCTTCAGAGGCCTGGGCACCCCTGGTTGAGTGGGCAAACCATAGTCACAGTTAAAAGTCCAATTTTTTGCCCCTCAGCTGTCAGCTTCAGCTGAGGGAAAAAACTAGCCCTTTTTTAACGTGTGTCAGACACCCTGAAGACCCAGCTGGGGAGGCCAGCTTCGAGTCCGCCATATCAGGATGCGCTTTCTGAATCTCCGTGGAGATGCTCATTCCTCCTTCACTCGGCGAGCTGGTACTTAGCGCAGAAAAGCCTCAGGGGGTCCCAAAGTGAGCTGGTTGCCACAGTGTTTGCTTTCTGTTGATGGCATCAAGGGGCCGGGGGAGGCCAGTGTGGGCCAGCCGGTTCAGCCCCTGTCTCTCGTTGACAGATCCACATGAAGACCATGCCGGCCGCCATGTTCAGGCTCCTCACGGGCCAGGAGACCCCGCTGTACATCTAGGCCCACCCAGCCTGCACTGCCCAGCCTGCCTGGGTTCAGAGGAGCCGGAAAGGCTGGACCCGGGACCTGACCCCTGACCCCCACAGCCCATCCAAGGACACTGGCTCCTCTGAAGGGCCTGCCCTCACCACCCACTTTTTTTTTTTTTTTTTTTTTGGACAAAAAGGGGTATGTCTTCATCAAAGGAGAGTCACAGGAAGCAATCTCTGTACAAGAGTCACGTGTTTTGCCCATTCTGACCCGTTTTCTCGTTGCAACCAGCGGACAAGGGTGTTTCTTTGTAGCTGTGTGTGGTGTGGAGTATGTCTTCCCTCCCTGAAGCCGTGGAGAGCGGACGTGAAGGGAGCCCCGCGAGGACAGCAAGCTCTGGGGGGCAGCAGTCGTCCCCTCCTGCCCCCCTCCTCTGGGGGGCCCTGGGGTGCTTCGGGGGAGGGCGCTCTGCTGCAGCCCGGCTCCCGGGGTGTGACTTGTAAGTGAGGTCCGGGAACATGTGATTGTATTGAACCAGAGGGGAGACGTTCCTGAGTTCAATAAATGATGATGGCTACAACATCGCAACTCCATATTTATTTAGACAACGTCACGGTGTTGACTTTTACTTTGAGAAGCCGATCTTCGGAACTGAGGGTTCTCGGATGACCCGCCATCGCAGCCGCTGCTCCTGTCCTCCCCTGAGGCTCCGTGGACTTGAGAGGGCACCCCCCTGCCAGCCGCCTCTCCTCTTCCCCCAGCCCCCCTCACGGGGCGGGGACCGCTGGCTCCTCCCCCCAGGGACAAGGGACACCACGGAGGCCCTCAGTTTCCGATCTCTGTCTACACACACGCATCCACACGCCAGCTCCCCGACCCCCAAAAGCCAAAACCCTCTCTGGACGACTCCGCCACTCCCAGGGCGGCCGGCAGCCGGCGCGCATCCCTGGGCCTGCCAGGCGTCCCCGTGAGCAGTATTAGCGTGTGTAGATAAAGTGAAACGTAGTCTAGTTCGGTTCATTAGAGGTCATTGTTAACCGACGTCCTTTTGTCTGGAAGTCTCTTTTTTTGGCCCCGGCCTCGGAGAATACACTGTGACTTAAGAAGCCTTACCATGCAGTAACTAAAGCTTTAGGATTACTGTATTCAAGGAGTGACCTGTGTGTTGCATGCAGCCGACCCTAGGAAGACTCGCTAATATCACTAATAAAGCTCAAGTCATGACCAAAGCGGTTTGTGTGGCTGGTTTGTTAATGCAGGAGCAGATGCCAGATTTCCCCTCACCTAGGTCGTTCACACAGTGCCTCTGGGATGGTGCCCTGTTTGCTGATGGCATCCCCTCTGGGTCTGGGGTTGCGGGGGTGGGGCTCTTTCTGGGGAGGTATGGGGGTGGGTGCTCCAGGCACCCGGTGTCAGCCTCCTCCTCCCCCAGTCCCCCATCCCCAGGGAGGAGACGGGCTGCTAACTGCCTAAGGGAGAGAAGGAGCCTTGTCATTCTCCTCATTTAAGACTCGATGATTCCTGGAGAGGTGAGTCGTATGTGTGTGAATCTATGAAACAAAGTGGGACTATCCATCCTAGTGGCATCTGCTTACCTGGAGGGTCCTCTGTGGCCTGTCACCTGCCGGAGGGAGCCAGGGGTGAACACGGGCTTTGATCAGAAGGCCGGGGCTGGGGTTCTCCCCGCGCCCACCCCCATTGATCTGGGGAGCTTGGCCTGGTAGGACCCACTGTGGGTCCTCCCACAAGTCATCTGCTCTCTGCACTGTGAGCTACTGACCAGGCCCTTCACCCTCGCCCTCGCCCTCGCCCTCACCCTTGGGTGATGAGAGGGAATGTCACATGAATGATAGCTGGAGGGAAAGGGCCCCCCCACTCAGGTGAGCCAAGGGGTATGCCCCTGCCTTGCCGGGAAAAAGGCTCCGGAGACGAAAGCCGTGGCTAGCAAATGACGCAGCGGTGGGGATGGAGGTGGGAGTCCCACCAAATAATTCACATAAAAAATCCAAATGAAAGAGCCCTTGGAGCCGGTGGCCTGCATCCTTCTGGGAAGTCTCCGACGGATGTCACATGCGTGGAGGCGCAGCTGTGGGCCAGCACAGGCGGGCACCTGCCCTCCACCTCTCAGCCCCTAGGACCTGCCCTTTTCTGGAAGGATGCTGGGAGACACGCTTGGGTGGCCGCGGGGGCCTCACGCTCCCCGCCGGCCGCTCGAGCTCCTGGTCTTCAGAGGCACATGGGCTCTCTGCCTCTCTGTCCCAATTAGACCCGGAGACACAGAGGCCAGAAATAGTATTTATTAAAACACAGATCATTATGAAAACACCTTGAGGTACATTAAATAAATACAACCTTCCAGTTGTACAAACAGGTCTCCTGTGGCTTGAAAACAATTTCCTATAAATTCTGCCTAATAGCAGCATCTGTGAGTCAATAGAGCTGAGGGGCGGGGGTGGGAAACACGTCCATTTGAAAGAAGCTTTCTGTGACATGGTTTGTTACAAGCATTCAATTGGCATTTTTGTCACCAGCGGAAGGAGAGCTTAGGTTCTTGTGAAGGATGAGTCCCCCGCCTGTTTGCCATGAGCTGGGGTCCAGAGCTCACCCACCTCAGTGTTCTTTTGCCACTCCCCCACGCCCACAGGCAAATGGCAGTGTCTGGACAGGCTCTGGCTCCCATGCCAGCTGACCCCATTTGGGTTGTGGGAAAAGTCTGGGAGAGTGTCCAGGACTCAGACTTCTGCAGGTGGGGGGGTCCCTGCAGGTGGGGGACCCATGCCTTAGCTTCCTGGTGCAGCCCGTGGGGCTCTGCCTTAGCCTGCTGATGCTTTATCAGGAGGAGAGGGGGGAGGCAGTGCACCGGCAAGGGGAACCCACTTTCCTTCAGTCATGCGCTCATAGTGTCTGGACTTGGGGTGTTTGCTGCTGAGCTCCGCTGAGCAGAGCAGGGTCCCAGGTACTAGAGCTGGCTTGTTCCTAGGGGTTCTAACTGGTGCTTCTCTCTTCCTGGGACCTTTCAGGGAAGCCAGGATCCTGGGCCCTGCTGGAGCCCACATGGGCTGCCTGGGGCCCCGAGCAGATGGGCAGAAGGTTCTAGCTCAGTGGTATAAAACTGGGTACGATCTCCTCAACTGCGAGATAGAGTTGTTCTGAGAGCAAATATGCAACTGAGCGTGGAAGGGTGCAGGAAGGGCAGGGCCCTTGAGAACATCCGGGACTCTGGGCTTTAGCCAGAGCTCCCGCAGATACCCACGTGGAGGCTCAGGCTGCCGGAGGTGCCCACGATGGCCGAAGAAACACTGTCCTACTGCAGGGAGGAGAAACAAAGGACACAGACTGCCAGGGTGGGCTCCCAGTGGCCACTCACCCTGGCCACCCATACAATGAAAGGACTGATGGTCAAGCCCCACCCCGAGACACTGAAAATGCCCAGATTCAGAAGCCACGAATGCTGTGCTGATGGGCGCAGGGAAGGCTACTTGGGAAAACCATCAACTAACTGGACCTGCGAAGGGATCCGCTCTGGGGGAGAGTTCAAAAGCCCTCAGCTGAGAAAAACGAGAGGAGAGCTTCCCCATTTTGTAGTCTGAATAAAGTGCTCATAATTCACCTCTGGGGTTCGCCGGTGGAAGAGTTCCTGTTGGCATCAGAAGGAGGAGGATCCTTCCAGCTGTCTCACGTCACCCAGACGCAAGGGAGGCGACGACCAAGAAAGCGGACCGTCACTGCAGGCTCCCTGGACTGCTGGCATCTGGGCTGCAGAGCCTCCCTGCCAGCCCCTGCCCAGCCTCCAACCACACAGACGCATCCCCAACACTACAGGTGGGGCGCAGAGCAGAGGGAAGGGCAGCACACAGCCCCTAGATGGCCGGACACCCAGCAATAGTGGGCAACCATCAAATCTTCCCCTTGTGCTCCCCATGCCAGGCCCTTGGGCTCTCGCTTGAGAACTGTGGTTTGTGGGCTGCCTTGTTCGTTGCAGGGCCATGGCATGGGTGCTGGTGGCCGCTGTTGTGGATGGCACAGGTACAGGCGTTCCCACAGCTGCAGAAAGTTCTCGAGGACAGTGCTGCTCCAGGGCCGTGGTGGGAAGTGGCTGCTGTTTAATTTTGCCAGAACATGGAGGGGGAGGGTGGAGAGGGAACCAAGAAAGGCAAAATGCCCAAACTGCCACTACAGAGGGTCTGGGCCTGCCCCCTTCCACATACCCAACGCAGTGGGTGTTGTCTGGAAAGAAATGATTTATAGCCTGCGTCTTCCCGCGCAGATGCCCAGCTGCCTGGCTGGGAGGGGAATGCTCTGGGTTGGCAGCGACCCGCTTTTTGAGGAGGTGCACAGGTCCCAGGGTCCAGGCCTCTTCCCCCAGACCTCCACTCGTCCAGGCCATCTTGGGGAGAGCAGACACAGGGGAGAACCTCCAAAGGGGCTCACCAGCAGTGTCTGCAGAGGAGAAGAGAGTAGACAGCCTGAGAGACAGCGGGGAGGGTGTCCCAGGGAGGGAGGGTGGAGAGGGGAAGTCCGGGAGACTGGTGACCATCCGGGGTGTGGTGTCCAGCAAAGCTCCCTGCCACACCAGCTTGTGTCCTGGAGATGGCCAGGCCACACGTAGGTCCCCTATTGTGATTTGCACGCACGACAGCCCTGCCTCCTGTGGGCGAGAGCTGGGCCCTGGCTCAGAATTACCCATTTTCTTTCAATCAGCATATGACAAAGGTAGATTACTGATACACACCATAGAAGAAAATGGTCTCATTTTACTTGATATCCTCTACCTGCTCAACACTCAGCTGACGCAGAGGTGGGCAGAGTCTTGCTTTGTGACGGCCCTGACTCTGAAGACACTTAGAGTCTCTGGTGTCCCCGTCACTGGATTCTCAGAACGCTGCCTAGGTGCTCCATGCCTGACAAAACCAAAGAGTTCACGGTGACCACGAGAGTCATTTTTCTGTATTAGTGGAATAAGTAGGAAGGGTCCTCCCCAAGACAATGACGGACTGGATCCTCCTTGAAGAGAGGGACAGCAGTTCCCCGCCTGGGCCACCCCGAGATTCTCCTGGGCCACAGGCCCCTCTCCACAGAGCACAGTGACCTCCAGCAAGGATGGTGAGTCCAGGCCCGTCCGTGGCCCTGTCAGGACCCGTGGGCTGGTCACACCTGGTCCAGAACGCCAGCACTGACCACGGCCTCCTCCATGTGGGCCTCCTCAGCAGGGACCACCGTGCTCAGGGTGCCCACCACGTGCTGCACCTCAGGAGGGAGGGCACAGTTCGAGTGTTCCAAAAACTTAGCCACCAAAACCCTGGCGTCTGCGTGGGCCTTGCTGTCCACTAAAGAATGTGGCCGCTCTTTGAAGACCGTCTGTAAGGCCTCTGGCTTTCCCCGTGGGTCTGTTTTCCAGGTGTCCCGTGGCCCAGGGGGCGAGAGCGGGTGCTGCCCCGCACAGGCAGCCGTGACAGAGTGAGCTCGGGAAACTAGAAATCAAGGGAAAAGATAATATCTGAAAACAACCAAAACAAAAGGCAGCTGTTAAATGAGTTCTTGACAAAGCAAATGTGAGCCTGCTTGGGACATGCTTTCGGCTGGAATTTCCACGTCCCCATTTCCTGTGTCTCTTCATCCCCACTGTGGCCCCTCTCAGCCCTGCATTGAGCTGGGGTTAACCTAGAGGGGCCACAGTTCCCTGGAGCTGAGGGGCTGGAGATGGGGGGGGCAAGATGCAAAGCGGGAGGGGAGAGACGGGCCGTTGCAGGTAGGGGTCCCCCTGGCCTTTGTCTCTCTGCTAGAATTCCTGCGCTCACAGGGGGCTGGCCCTTCTCAGCCTTCTTTGGCTCAATGACCTTTGCCCTTGTGGGTCTGATGGCATCTAGAGAGGGGTCTGCCTGAAGACCAGAGCTGGGGGTGACAGAAGGGCAATGAGAGCACCACACTGCCACCAAGTCAAGGGGTGACAGCTGCCACTTCTCACTGGCACCAAAGCTCAAAGCACGCAGACCCTGCTCCCAATACCCACCCGGCCAAGGCCAGGGGCAACAGCGCTAGCTCCCAACAGGGCCCACGGCTGCTCTGGATAACCCAAGGGTCAAGCCATGGTCTGACGGTGCCTGCAGAGAAAGCCAGCTCCAGGCGGTCTCCTGGGACCGTCGCCCCAAGGACCAGGTTAAGGCCTGACCTGTCCACAGCATGTTTCAAGTCACACAGAAGAAACACATTCTGAGTGGGCTGCCATATTTTTGGTGGTGGAGGGGCAAGCCTGACCACGAGGCATGAGGGACTGTAAAGACCTCACACATGAGGTGCCTCTCCCCTACGAAGAGCATCTCACAAATGCGGTGAAGCCAGCAGCCACGGGCCTGGTACAGCAGCTGTACCTTCTAACACATTCTCTGGAGACAGCAGGGGAGGCAAGGCCGTTCTTTCAAAGCCCTCAGCGCCCAAGAGCCCGTGCTTCTGGCCAACACTGTGAGGCCAGGTCTCGGACAAAGGCAGCCGAGCACCGGGAGTCCCGGCCCGCCCCCTCTCCCCCCATCTTGCAGCAGGTGTCAAAGTGCTTCAGAAAAGGAGTGTCTCACCGGTCCCCGGAGCAGCCCTGGACAGTCCTCCTTCCAGGTCCTGGCTGCAGGACGGGGTGTGTGAAGAGGCAGTGCCTTGATCAGAGAAAGAATTCAGTTAACAGGTGGCAGGGAAAAAGGAGAGCTCCTGAGGACAGGAGCGTCACTCTCCTGTGGCCAAGAACTATCTTTTTGATGTAGGACTCACCGACACACGTGCTTTTCACCTGCGGGACAGTAACTGCTTTGCTGGCTGAGGAGAGGCTGCGCCAAGGGGCTGGTGTGGGGACACGGAGAAGGCCCCGCGACAACTTGTAATCAAACCACCACTTCTCATCCCCACCCCCCAAATGTCACGGTTTGCAGAGCCCAGATTTCCCTGCAGCGGGGATAGGCCAGAGGAAGCCATCAGGGGCCACACGTGCATGGGATCGTGCCCCAGACATGAATGGGTAACAGCCCTCACGGGGAGGAGAGAAGGGCTGAGTCTGGCATATGCATGGGGGAGGTGGGGGTCTGATGGAGTCCTGCCTAGTGAGCTGGCAGCCGGATGTGGGAGGGGAGGGCAGCGAGACAGAGGGATGTGGGCCAAGGAGCCTGCAGGGGCAAATCTGGCATTTCCACCAGGAGGCCCCTTGTAGGCAATGACCTTGGCGGGTTTATGGTTCCTTCTGGGGATACAGTTCTCCTGCGGCACAGATCCTGTCTATTTGAGGTTCAGCCAGACAAGACCACTGAGTCCAGGCACCCAGCGGGCCCTGCAGCCCTCAGTCGCACTTGACTTTACCTGCAATGACACCGCCGCCGACCTCCCCCTCCCCCACTCCCACTCAAGGCAAGCACTGTGGGAGGAAGTGTGGGTTCTCCGGCTTCAGGGTTTACTTAGGGCCCCTGGGAGGTTGGTGTGAAGTGCAAATCCTGGGCTGCTGGGCCACGAACTCTGATGCCAGGTCAGAGAGCCCAGGGAGGGCGCCGCCTCTTCAGGGTCACGTAGGGGCAGTGTGGACCCAAGCTCCAGGCCACACAGGGAGTGCTACCAACGGGGCCCGTGACGCGCTATTGGAAACACCCTGTGTCTGCCTGGGGCGGCTTCGGCTGGGAGGCCCCACCAACCCACTGTTGCCCCTGAGGCACAGCCTTGCCTTACCCTTGGTAAATAGCCTTGCCCCTGGGTCCCACCAGGCCACGAGCAGGCACTGGCACTTTCCACAAGTTGGAGCCCACACTAGTCCTGGGTAGAGAGCCACCAAGGCCGATGGGTGGATACAGCCTGTGGTCACCTGCCCGAACTGAGTCTCCACCTGGGCCCCAGAGCTGGTGTGTAACTGCCAAGCTAATGTCAGGGGCTAGCCGACCCCGGGGGGGCTCTCATCACCCCACACCTTCCCTCCCTCCTCCCCTTACTCCCCAGCCAGAAAGTAGAAAGCCTGCTGGGTGCTCAGCAGGGGTCCCTGACTGTCCGCCCCTCCCTAGGGCTCTCGGGCATTAAGGCCACTTTCCCAAAGTGGCCCCTGAGCACAGGTCCCAAGGCCTGGCCTTGACTCTCAGCTCACTGAGGTCTGCAGTGTCCAGGGCAGAGCAGGGCACATGTTGGGGACCCAGGGGGACTGGACTAGCCATACCTGTCACAACAGATGAGCACGAAGTGGGGTCGCTGGTAGAGCGGGCCACACGTCCAGGACCTGGCGCCGCCCTTGTGTCCTGGTCAGGGCCCTCTGGGGACTCGAGGCCAGGTGGCAGGGGCTGCAAGGCACCCACAGGGCCTTCGGGGCTCGGGCCCGGTGCAGTGGCACTCTCGGATGCCCGGAGGCTCGAGCTACCTGCAGGCTCTGCAAGGCAAGGGACACTGTTAGTACCGGTGCTGAGCCACCACCGCGCCACCCAGGACGGACCCTGTGCCCGCCCACACTCCTGTTGGAGAGCAAAGGTCTCAGCCTCCTGCAGCCCTCCCAGGAGGCCAGCGCCATCCGCCCTTCACTGCCCAGTCTAGACAAACCTGTAATCCCAAGGGCGTGGAAATACGGAGCAGGTTTACAAGTGCTTTATGGTATAGGAAAGTTTGGGGGGACACCAGATGATCTCCCAAAAGTGATCCCAGAAGGGGTGTGGGATGCAGGGCACTTATACTCTTCACACTGCACAAGAGACTAAAAGTCAGAAACCAGCCCCATCTCCCATCCAGGGCATGGCTTCGTGGGGGGTGGTCTGAAGTCCAGGAAGGGGGAGGCCACAGTGTGCTCGAGGCACACACCCCATGCAGAAAGAGGCAGGCCTCAGAGGGGCAGCACGGCATCCTAGCCGGGTCCTCCTGGGCCTGAGAACATGCCTGCTGCCCACAGAGGGTACGGCCCAGGGCCTGGAGTGCAAGCCTGGCCCTGGTCAGGCAGAGGCGGGAAGCTGCCTGGGGAGACCTGCCTGGTTCTCAAAGCGTGGACCAGGCCAGCAGCGGCAGCACTGCCTGGGAACGTGTCCACGTTCAGACCCACTGCATCAGAAACTCAGGGATGGGCCCAGCCGTTGGGGTTTGAACAAGCCCTCAGGGGATTCTGATGCCCCCCCAAAAGCAAGTGTGCAACCCACTCTCTATTCCCGAGATGCTGGTCAGGTGGGGCTCAGCCCCTCACCACTCCGAGACCGGCCACTGAGGGGGACTGCATCAGAAACTGTCTTAACAAGATCTCAGGGAGCCTATGTGCACATTATCAAGGCTCGAGAAGCAGTACTCCCTCTGCTCTTTTATCCCATTAGCAGACAACGTCAGAGCTGCCTTCCGTGAGGCTCCTCAACCATCAGGCTCCACAGATTTTTGAGGTGAGCGGCCCACCCGGGGGACCCTTTGTAAGAGTCAGAGCAGCCTGAACAACTCGGGGTGGGGGGAGGGAAGCTTTGGGGTCTGACCCTTCCATTCCTTTCCGTGGGTCTTACGGGAGGCCTCTTTGTTTCCAGGGCCCCCATATCTGCAAGCTTGGGTTTCCCGGTGACCTCCCACTTAATCCTCACAGCTCTCCCAGGCTACCACTCAGGAAACACAGCTGAGAGGCCTCGGAGGGAGAGGGTCACGAGGTCACGGGGTGGTGGAGCTGGTCGGAAGCAGCCCCGTTCTAGAGCACTCCGGCTTCATCAGCCCTCTGCTGTCTACCCTTGCCCTCTCCATAGATGCTTTGAGACAATTAGCAGTCCATCTGGAAAAACAGAAGGATGAACTTAAACTCTCAAATCCTAGCAAAAAAAAAATCTTCAGGACGATTAATCTTTCTATTTTGTATTTTTTCTAGAGACGGAGGAGGCATGGGGAGGGGCGAGGGACAGGGAGAGAGAGAATCTTAGGCAGGTTCCATGCCCAGGGCACAGCCCAACTCAGGGCTCGATCTCCCGACCCTGAGATCATGACCTGAGCTGAAATCAAGAGTCCGACATCCAACCGACTAAGCCAGCCAGGAGCCCGAATCTTTTTCTTTTTCTTTTTTTCCCAATCATTTTCTTTTTTAAGATACTAGAAGAATAGTGGCAGAAAATACAGGAGAATAAATCTAAAACCTCGGAGTGAAGAAAGACTTTGTAAACATGATAGATACCAGAAAGGAAAAGCTTGATGAATCGGACAATAAGAAAAATCGTTAAAAAAAATTGTAAAAATTGTATGGCAAAAGACATCATTAACAGGGAGGAAGCTGAGCACAAACTGGGAAGGTGTCTCTGCAATGAACAGCAAAAGGGAGAAAATGTCTCCATTTAACAAATATTTTTCTGACAAATTTATTTAAAAAAATAACCCACAAAACACTGCAAAAAAGTGGATCCCAAACTGACATATAAGTAGGTAACAAACACGTTCGGTGCTCACACCCCGTCTTGTGTGTGTATTGGTCATCTCCAGGGGTGATAAGGATCATCAGGAATGATGACGTCTTGGGGTGTCATAAACAGCTTTTGTGGGTAGGGACACTAGCAGTAAAACCCTTCCAGAACGCCATGTGGCCAACACACCAAAACCTAAAATACCTATTTCCTTGGGCTCCGCAAGTTCACTCGTAGGAACTAAGGGACTGGTTGGGCAACCACTCAAAGCTGAATGTATCCATGAATGTATCCACTTCTCTGTATCCTTAGAAGACCTCAAACCAGCAAGTGGCATTATTAACTGTATTAAATCACAAAGGGGCATACTAGAAATATTCTGAATCATGTTCATCCCTGCTGATTCCTCTTGATCTCCGTTTTCTCTCTTTTTTACAGCTTTATTATGGTATAACTGATAAACAAAACCCCATGCAATTTTAATATGTAATATTTGATGAGATTGGACATAAGCATATCCTTGATCCCGATTTTCTTAATGTCAGAGAGAATCCAATGGCTGAGTTCTTCAGGGAAACAGAGTCAGAGAGGGAAATGTGACTTAGTTCCAAACAGTTGTCCTTAACAGAAACACAGAATTAGGGTAACATGACCAGGAAAGCTCATAGGTCAAGACACTCTTGTCCCCGCTCACCAGCTTTGTTGTTAGCCTGTTTACAGAGTACCACTCGTCCCAGCTTCCAGCTTTTCACCTAACGGATCGCAAGCATTTTTCCTAAGTAATATAAAATGACATATTTAATGTACGTATCATATTTTCCTTGACTCTTATCAACGGACATCATTATCCCTGTAAGTTTTTACTCTTATGAAAAATGCAAGTGATCTTTATGGGTACGGTTCTCTTTTCTTTTTTCTTTCTTTCTTTCTTTTTTTTTTTTTTTTTTGCTTTTTTCCCCTAGGGCGGTTCCAGAAGTGTGATCACCACATCTAACGGCATAAACATTTTTATGGCTCTTTATCAAGATGCTTTGCCAAAAGGAGTGGGTTGATTTGCAAGCTGTCCATCAGGGCTGGGTGAAACAGCTTCCCTCTGGCCTTGCCAGCCTCCATGTCCTCATTATTATTTTATTTCAGTAAGTGAAAAACAATTCCAGCATCTACCCCCTTCCAGGCACCTGCACCCCCAAAATTCTAGAGCTCTTACATGAGTCCAGCAAGGTTGTAGGAGACCAGATGAACACACAAGAATGAATGACGTCTGTACTGCCATTGGTCACGTGTACTAACAACGAGTGTGCAGAAACCCAAGTCAAAGAAGACCCAAATCCACGGGGAGACAGACGGGGTAGAAGGCTCAGATTTGCAAACATAGCGATGCTACCCCAGTTGCTCTGCGGGCTTAATGCCATTCCTGCTCAATTCCCAGTTCGCATTTTTTGTGGACACAGACAAGTGGGTTATAAAAGGGATATGGAAACACACAGGCCCTAGACTAGGACCTGGAACAATCCTGACGAAGTGGAGCAGAGTGGAGGTGTGGCTCCCGATGGGAACGCTTCCCGCAGAGCGCCCAGTCATCAGAGCAGACGGACTGATGCACAGATGAAGAGAACAGAATACAGGGCCCGGAAATACCCCCATGCCATTCTGCCGGGCTGACTTTTGACAAAGGTACCCAGGCAACAAATGATCTGGAGCAGCTGGATATACATAGGCCAAAAACATGACATGGACCGCAACCTCACCCCACCCAGAAACTACTCGGCAGGAGGCATCTTTTCCAAAGTGAAACCAGGTTGGCCTGCTGTCCCATGAGTGTGTCTGTCCGTTCTTCTCCATATAATCCTGCTCACTTCCAGGCCTGGCCCCTGGGCCGGGAGTCAGTATTGGAGGCAGCTCTGAGCTTCCCAGTGGAGCCCAGTTAACTGCTCAGATCCTGGGCAGTGAGGAAGGCCCTGCTAGGATAAGTTCCTGACCCTTCTGTCCATCTCTACCTGCCCTGGGCTCTGGGAACGACTAGGCTGCTTGGTCTTCCCTACCATGCTTTCCTCCAGAATTTGCATTTTTGGGAGTGATGTGGTTGGAATGGGGAAATAGACTTCCATCTCTGAATAAACCCATTCATCTGAGCCCACCTGAGGGCCCAGCCCCTGCCATTTGCTCCCTGTCAACCAGGGGTTGTCCGCTTTCCTGACACCTCAGATGGCCTCCCTGCCTCTGGCTTCAGACAGCGGCTCCCACCTCACATCTGAGAGATGACCTTCCGCATTTTTCCTTCAATGTCCACTAGGATACAACTTCCAGCATCCTTCCCCCAGCCTCTCCCGCCAAAGCCAGTGGGCCCAGGGGCCCAGGCCTAGCTCCCTCCTGATGGAGGAGCCCTGTAGACAAGAGCCTGCTATGGTTTTAGCTCCAGAAAGGGTCCATCCCAGATCAAGTCAAGCTTCTCTTCAAACCCATATCCCTCAAGTGGAGGAGAAAGGGTGCTGGGGGAGAGGGGGCAAGTCCCCCCAGAGAGAGCATGATGCCCCCCAGGTGTACTGACTTATTTATTACTGCATGTGGCTAAGGGGGGAGCTTTGGAGAACATACATGGTCTTGAACAGCAAAGCCTGTAGCAAATTCCAACCCCTTAAGTAAGCAATGGAGGGAGGGCAGGAGCAGGAAGGAGAGAGAAATAGGAGGTTGAGGAAAGGGGATGTGCTTTGAAAAATATACACTTACTTCAAATGCTGAAAAAGGTTAAATTTACCTTGTGTGCTGAAGCCAGCGGTGGCATCTGGGTCCCCGGGGCTGGACTCGGTCACCTGCTGATCCACACTTGTAAGCTACGGCAAGAAATGAGGCATCAGATGGGACATTGCAACAGGCCCCAGAAACCGAGGCTGACTTCAGAGCTCATCTTCTAGAAGACATGTACGTACATTTCTGCTTTTCTCCTCTAAATTTATGGAGTCAGGCTGTGAGGATGCCAAGGCCAAAGGATCACTGCTAAGGCCAGAGCCCGTCTCTCCGACCTTCTGAAAGCCAAGTGCCCAGCTCTTCCCAAGAGCCCAACCGGGCCCAGGCGCCAGCCACCCTGAGCCCACTCACCTTCCACTTCTGGGGGCACTGTTGGGAAATGATCAAGGCCACACGGGGTCCTCCAGAGTCACTAGAGGAGGTAGGACAGCCCCTGGCCTTGCTTCTAACCGCTCCCTCCCAACTGTTCTCCTCCCTGCTTCCCCAGCAGGAAGAATAAAGCCCCGGGGGACAGACATCGTGAGACCCGTCATGCTTTGGGCCAGCACAGCTTGTATACAGGGTGGACTTTTAAGAAACAATCCTGACCTCCGTGAGCCCCTAGACTCCCCCAGAGTTTGCATCAGCTCCCTTCCCTTTTGCCTTCTGCAGATGGAAGCCAGAGGTTGCTCCCACGGCTGCCCGCCCTGCCTGAGCTCTAGCTCAGAGCCCAGGTCCACTTAGGCCGTGTGTTTGGTTGAACGTGGGCCCCATGGCTCCGGGCACACTGTCCAGTCCTGGTGGAGGGGGTGGCCGTGAGGACTGCATCATGTTTGGAAGTCGTCATGCTCCTGCAGATTTCTTCTTGAACGGATCATTCTGCCCAGAAAGGCCTTGGGGAGCACTGGGTGGGGGGTGGTGTTCTGGGAAGACCAGACCTCCTCTGTTGGTGGGGGATGGGTCATCTCTGCTTTCTGGCCCTGACTTCACCTGCCCATCCTCTGCTCGCACACTGGGTTCTCACCCCGGGTGACCACATCTGTTCCATTGCTCCTTTTACAGGACAAGGGCCCCACACAGGCCACATGCCTGAATGTCATGAACACCGCACGCGTGTGCCCGTGTGCGATCTCCAAAAGGAATTTCTGCATCCTTGTGTTATTTCAGTATGGCTCTGGGGACCCGCTTGCAAATAATGAGCTCTGGGGGAGGCCCGGGAAGGTGAGGGGGGACCCTGCGGCTTGGTCCCATTCCAGCTCAGGTAATTACATCCCTTCCTCCCTTGTCTCCCGCCACTTCAATCAGACAGCTGCTCGTCTTCATCTAGTCTTTCCACCAGGCTGGAGCTGTGGCAGGTGCTGGGCGGCAGCCCTCCCACCAACACAAAGCGGGGGAGGCATGCCCATGCCGGGGACCCGCGACAGGGTTTGGGGGGCAAGAACAGCACCTGTGGTGAAGACCCAGGGCCGCCTAACCGTTCCCTTTGATCCCGCTTCCGTGTAATACCGCACACGCTATGTTCCTTCCTCAGCGCACCCGTCCCGCGGGGGAGGGAACCGGGGGAGGGAGAGTCCCATGGCCATCAACGCTCACCTGCTTTTTCACTGAAATTGCTATTATCTGCCTACAAACTGATGTTGGAAATCTCTATCCAGAATATTCTGCTAAATCACACGAAAAAGAACAACGGCCTCAAGGTTCATTCCCTTCCAATACTCTTCCTGACTCTTCAAACACTTTTTTTTTTTTTTTTTTTTTTGCAGGCATGGGTGGCCACTCGGACACTCAAGGCCTGAAGAAGAGCTTCTAGTAATAAAGAAATATAAATAAAACAAGAGAAATAAAAGGCACAGTGGGACAAGGTCAGGAGGAAATTGGATTCATTTCATATTTCACAGCCGCGTTGCTGGCTTCCCTCTGGCTCCCGGTCAAATCAGGTTTTGAGAAGAGACAGCTCCTGGCAGCATATCTATCACATCTCATAAGCGGGGTGTCAAGGGTTTAATTTGAATTTGGCTCTCCCTGATGGCCAAGGCCACCTTGCCTCCCAAAAGCTGGGGACGGAATAGCTCTGAGGTCTGCACGGCATTTTCTATTAATTATAAAGGCAGCAGAGAAGGCAGGAGAAGGCATAATTTAAGTTGAAATCTGAGTTTAGGAATAAAGGCTTATAATAGCTCTTGTAGGAGAGGGCCGCTGAGAGGTGAGGCTGTGCCTATGGCCTCGCGTGGGACACCCAGAGGCTGCCTTTGCTTGTACCCAGACACACTATACTGACCAGTTGTTTTCATTAAAAACTCCGTTGGGAGGTGCCTGAGTGGCTCAGTCTGTTAAGGGTCTGACTCTTGATTTGGGCTCAGGTCAGGATCTCAGGGTTGTGAGATTGAGCCCCACTCTGGGCTCCACACTGGGCATGGTGCCTGCTTGAGATTCTCTCTCTTCCTCCCCCCTACTCCCCTGCTCTCATGCATGCATGCATGTGCTCTCTCCCCCCAAAAATAAAAATAAAAATAAAGTCCATTGGCATTGAACAAATAAGCCAAATCTCCCTTTCTTTTAGGAAGCTCGGTGGCTCAGACCCTCACATGGAAATTCTGCCCTATTTCTGCAGTAAATTTCCTACCCCCAGGGTGGGTCAACCTGCAAATATCAGATTTTCTTTGGAGGCAATTGTCTGCAATCACAGAAAGTGTGAATTAAGATCTTAGGCTAGGGTCCCGAGGCAATCTTTGAAGCAGCTGTGCTATCCAGATTTTTAAATGTAAAGGTGATTTCATTTGAAATTACAAATTCTAACCTTTAGGACTTGTGGTGGGCTGCACCTTGGCCATGTCCACTGCCTTTCTCACAATTTCTAGTCTCCTACCTCAGGTTTCCCTCCTGCCTGCCAGATGGCCAGGAAATTAAAATTCTTGAAGTACTGCTGGATCACGTCAACTCCAAACGCCGAACTCTTCAAAGGCACTGCTGTAGTCCAACATCCAAGGTCATAAAATCTATACCCAAATTATTTCCGTGAACCTCCTTCATTATCTCAAGCTCCCCAGCCAGGTTCCACGCTGTCCCACCACGGTCTCTGCCCAGGCTGTCTCTTGATGAGCTTCCCCGTTGTTCACATGCCCAATCCCACTCAAACTGTCAAGGTTGGTTCCTCCTTGGAAGCCCCAGAGAGGTTTCTTGGAGTCCGTCCTGTCACTACACCAGACTGCTAGTTCCGCGAGGAAGGGACTCTGCTCTGTTCACGGTTCCGTATCCCACAGAACATGGCACAGTCTTCTGTGGTCCCTGGAATGTAAGCCTGTCATCCCTATAGGAAGATCAAACTGGCAAATTCTCAGGAACTTTCTTGTTATAGAAAAGAATGCACCCCTTTTAATCCGGCCCTACAGTTATGGTCTTGAGCCAAGGGAAAGAGAAGGTCATCACAAACGAAGTCTCCAGTCTGCGAGAGTGAATGGGTCAACGTGAGTGTGCTTGGTCAAGGGGTGTTTTTTCTTCCTGTATTAAAAATCTCCCCCAAATGAGTGGCCTCCTGCCCCTGTACAGACCTCCCACAACACATGTCCTGCTTTTCCATCTTCTATCTTCCTCTCTCTACCCAGATGAGTCCTGATAGGCAATTTACATGCCATTTGTCCACAAGGGTAAGTAATTAACCTCTCTCTCCCCCTGGGAGAAAGGATGGTGCTGGAAAGGGGGGTGGTTCCTTGCTGTCTGCAGGTGGGAGGGCTGCCCTGGGGGAAGGGGCAGCTGGCCATGCAGCCATCCCACTACGGAGGGGAATGGGTTTTTATTGGCTTCCAGACTCCCAGAGGTGTCTGTGGGATTGAAAATTGCTGCCAGACCATGGGGTCAAAGAGGACAGGCCCAGTGAGAGGAGAATGGAGGTGGCCCTTCAATCACCAGCTCCTCCCCCACCCAGAGGGGCCGGCCCAGAGAAAGGCCATGCAGACCCGCACTTCTTCCGCAGATCACATTTGCGGAGGGCCGTGTAAGCTGGTGGTTTCTGAGCTGACACAATGTGAGACGGGCCTTATCAGTGCATTTCAGGTGGGCTGGGCTAAGCTATGATGGTAGGTTACAGGTATTAACGGTATTTTCAAATTACAAGGGGTATTTCTGGTTGTAACCCTATCATAAGTCAAGGAAGATCTGTATTCCATGTTCCAGAAGAAAAGAGTAAACCAGAGATAAAACACTCATCAGTATCCTTGGGGTGTGCAAGTGTAGGGTGGATCCAATGTCACACGCAAATCCGGAGGCCCCTTTCCACCATCTAGGGTCCTTGATGGGCTGGAGGGGTGTTTCCCATTCCCATCATAAGGACAACTGTTGGGGGGTTCTCACCATCAGGACTGGGAAGCAAAGGGCTCTGAGAAGTCCGGCTGCTCCCCACAGGGTAGTGGGCCCAAATCACTCATCCTTCTGTGGCATTCTGTGTTCTGGAAATGGGAATGACACCTCACAAAAGGGAGGACAGAGAGGCGGGCCAGAGCTGGTCCCCAGAATGGAGCTAAATTTCTGTGATGGCAATTAGCAGCAGGTGGAAGGGTGACAGCAGAGCTCCTTCTTCTGCCCAAGGCAGCCGTGGAGAATCACACACCTCTGGGCTTGTTGGGGTCTCTGCCTGGTGCCCTGCCTGGTGCCCCTGCTGGTTACAGGGCAGAGCTGATCATCTAAGGCTGGGTCAGCCTCCCTCTCCTTGACCTTCTGTGGACTTCCCTCCCCAACCTTGGCTCAGCTGCTCCCAACCCCCAGGCCCTTCCAAAGCCCCTTGGTAAGCCCTCACGCCCCAGGCCAACAATCCTCCTAACTATCTCCTACCTTCTCTCCTCTTGGCCAAGCGTCTCACAAGAGTGAGCTACTCCAGTTCCCAGGGTGTCCCTGGAAAAGCAGCCCTGCAGGAGCAGGAGCTAGAGCTTAGGTAGGAACACAAATTCTTAGCAGGATCCCCTTCCCAGCCACCGACTCAGAAACTCCCGGGGTGGGCTAAGCCTGGGATGCCCACCGGAGTCCAAAAACTACTGGCTCACAACCCTCCTATAAGTCCTCATGTCCCATCCCCTCCTCTGTCCTTGTAGCTTCTCGAAGTATTGCCATTCTGTAGGGCTCTCCTGCAGAACCTCCCAGTTCCCCAGAATTGGTGACCATCTCAGTGGCTAACGTGGATCTCTCCAAGGCCCCAAGCTATAGATCCTGTCACCTGGTGGACACCTGCATTGATGTTCTGATGATCTCAGAACCCACTGGGCTGCCTGGGTAGGTCACCCTCTACCCATGTCATCCTCCTTGCAGACTCATCCTGAGCTGCTTTCTGTTTGAGGATATGCGTACTGCACTGTCCCTCCTTCTGAGCCTTGCCACCTGCCACCCACTTAGCCTGAGCCCTCAGCTCACATAGACTTCCTGGAATTCCCCAAGTAGAGATGGATGTCCCTGCCCAGTGTCCTCCAGCAAGGCTTGGGGCTCCCCTCAGAATACTTAGAACTTCCTTCACAGGAGACAGTTCCCCTTGATAATACTGATCTGAATTATTTTTATCATAAAGAGGAAAATAAATCACTTCAGAAAGGCAGAATTTTCCACTCAGTTTTTTACAGAATTCAAGAGAAGTTCAATTATTTTAAGTTTAGAAATAAGATTTCACAGTCACACTTTGCATCTCCACTAATGAATCCCACCCCCACCCCAACCCCAGGCAGCTCCTACACACCTGCTTCTACTGTGGACAGGAAAAAGGTCAAGAGTCCTTGGTCACTCCCTGTCTGCCATCTGCAGCTTGATGAGCTGTTCCAGGACATTTCAGGGCAAGAGGTGGTGGAGAAGGAAGGCCCAGGGGCTCAGGTGGTGAGCACCATCACCTGCACCAGGGTGGGCTGGGGCAGCCTGAGGAGTCCCGCCCAGGTGACCCTCAAGGAATATCTTTCTTGCAAAAAATGTATAGCCAACGTCCTGCTGGGCACAGAGGTAAGCACTTCTTGCCTTTTCTTCCTGTCCCACAACTGTCCGGCCTGCAGAATGTGATCTCCCTTGTGGATGTGATTGTCTGAAAAGCCATCGTGTAAAACCATTTCTCCACCCACAGAGGTCCCTTAGGGCCAGGAGCTCCTCAGTGGGTGGCTGAGGAAAGGAGAAGCACTGCCTCCTGGCCTTCTCACCACATGGCCTTGAGATCTCAAAGGGACAGGGAGGACATCAGAAGGTCTGGGCTAGATGTGAGACCCGCACTCCATCCTGGTAGGTGACTTGGGATCCTGTCTGAAGGTTCTGTGCTGCTGAGAAGCCCATAGGTATGTGGGTCCAGATGGGTTAGAGAGAGCTCAGCGGTGCCCTTCAGATGCTCCTGGTTCTTGTTTGCATACCCTCTTCTGCCCAGGGCTCAGGGCCCAGAACTGGCTGCAGTCCCCGTTCTTGACAGGATTTCTCAGTTCCCCTGAATGTGCCCCTTCTCGGCTTGACTGCTGTGCTTCCCATGGGCCCCCAGTTCTGGGCCTTCCCCAAACCCTGACCTGCACTCAGGTGCTGTGTGAATTTTGAGAGTTCACATCTCTCTGCTCTGGCTTGTGGCCTTTGATATTCAGGAGTGACAATTGTGATGACGACAATCATGATGACAATATCATAAAAAGGGGCAACTGATGTTTGCTGAATCAGAATCTACTCTATGTCAGGTGCTGTGCTGGGTCCATTCCACACATTCCATTCCATCCTATGTGCTTGATACTATTATCGGTGAGGAAACCGAGAATCCACCAACGTATCCCCCCAGTGCGTGCCCATTGTGGGTCAGGGACCCCAAGGCAATGGGACTGCCTGACTCACCAGGCTCAGAGGAAGCCTGCTACACCTTGCCTGGTGGCTCAGGCACTTTCCTGGCCTATGGCTGCCCGGCCTCATGCAGGATCAGGGATCTGGCACGGCTCTCTCAACTCCCCAGTAGACAATGACAGAGTTATGTCACTGACACAGGCCAGAGTCCCCTGAGTACTCAGTTCATAGCCTGAGCTCTATCACTGGGGGCCTTTGCTCATGGTTTTGAACCTGTATCAGCTCCTTCTGCACCATGACCCCAGACATACCAGCCAGACTTCAGCTCAGGTGCATCTGAGAGGAGCCAAGGGAGAGAAGCTCAAATACTGGGACTGGCATCCTTGGACCTGGGGTGGGGTCTCTGTAGGTCCTACTCTCTGAGCCTGCTGCCTTCTCTCCACAAGATCACAGAGAGAAATACAAATGCAAGGAGTGTGTCTTAGTACAGGGAACTGGCTTGTCTGGGGTGGGCGGGGGGTCTCACCTGGCTGGTGGTGGTCGGGCCCACCACGGCCTCGTAGGGCGGGGGGAGCTCCGTGGGGTAGAGCAGGCCAGGACTGTTGATGGCAACATCATACAAAGTGCTGAATGGAGAGGGAGCAAAGTCCAAGTGGAGGCCCCTGAAAAGGCAGAACCATCCCATTGTCACTCCTGGGATGGGGGAGGGGATCCTGAACTGCTGACCTTTCTCTTAAAGGCAATCAGAATGTCTTTTGTCAGGGTTTCCTTTGGTCGAAGAGTCGTTGTGTTTGTGAAATAAAAGTCTCAAGTCTTAAGTTTTACCTTTTTTTTTTTTTTTTTTTTTTTTTTCCTGGAGAGATGTCGACAGGCCCTGTCCACTGAAATTAAAATAATCACAGAGCCGATTAAATCTTTAATTAAATTTTACAGGTCCTCTTAATGACCGTAACTCAGAGGCAGTTTTGTGTTTCATGAGAACGTAACGGAGCCGCTCTTGTGGGGCTAGGTTTGCTTTTGTTGTTGCACAGCGGCAATACCAAGAGAAACGTTCTCTCTCAAAGCCAACATTCTCTCTTTTCACTCTTCACGCTATGGTCTCTAATCAAACATGCTCTCTTATGTTCACTCTCCTCTGCTCAGCTGCCCCACTGAAAATGAGTGTGGCTGTTGCAAGTTCCACCTCCCCTACTGCTCCTATCTTCCTGGTGTCTGCATAGGTCACCTATAGATCACCAGAAAGATCCACCTGTGGGCTTCGGCTGTGGGCGTGCAGGTGTACTCTGGCGGGTAATAGGGTGGAGGTGGGAGTGGGGGTATGAACTCATCGAAATCCAGGGTCTGGTGGAGCACGGTGCCATGGGGGGTCACGCAGGCCGGGCTGGCAGAATGCACCCTTTGTGGAAGGAACTGGAAAACAGAGAGATTCAGAGTTATTTGGGACATCTTGTGTGGCTTGTGTCTAATTAAGCTAATTATACATAAGCCTTAATGATTCGTTTGGAACTTATGTAATTTAAACTGTCGGACTGTGACGGCGAAACACACACTTAAAGATGATGGCTCCGTGAAGAATGCCTCGCCCCCACAGCTTCTTCTTTAGGCTTTGTTTCTCACAATGCTACACAGAATGCCTCCATTCTAAGGAGAAATGCAGTCTGGGAAGTCTTTAATTCCACCCCCACCCCTAAATCTTTCTCTTTAGATTATACTACTCAAAGCCTGTGGGTTAAAATGGTGCCTGATGTCCATGATTTAAGATAGCACTTCCTGAAGTGCGTTCATGAGGAAACACCAGACCCTCAAGATGTTCCTCTACAGCCCCTCCCAAATTCCTACAGTGAAATAAATTTGGGAAATGCTACATAGTGTTGTACTCCCTTTTTGGTGCCTTGTAGTGCATGTTTGTGTGTTAAAGCTCCTGAGAAGGTCTGCACCAATAAATAAATTAATTAATTAATTAAATAAAATCTGTTTAATCCATTAAAGGAATATTTCTCAAATATTTCATTATGGGTCCTTTTGGACACATGGTATCTATGAACACTTCTCAGTCCTAGAAATTCATACACTCTGTAAAACACTGCTCTGAAGGAAAAGAATCATGAGCTCCAAAACATTCTGTGAGGCGACCTTAAAACCAAGACACTGCTTGAGCAAACTGAGTTAAAATTGCTTAAACAAAAAGAATCCTGCCTCTGCCTAGCTTTCCATTTCTGCCATAGGAAGCACTGGCCAATAACTTCCCATCTCTGGTCACGGCTGCCAGAGGTTACCTATAGCAGGGAGATGTCTGAGCCATTGCTCCAGTTCCAATCAACACCTCACTGTGAGTGCCTACAAGTACAAGGAGCTCTGTGCTACTCAAATGCTACGCTCTGGGCTGTCCACCACATGAAGAGTGAGACAATCAACTGTATATGGCCAAGCAAGAACAGTTCTGCTAGTAAACAAGCTCTCCAAGCACTGTGTGGGGGCCTGGAGTCTACAAAGGGTTAATGAAGATGACATTTGAACAGGTCTGAAGATTGGGAGGTAGGCTTACAAGAAGGTGCTCTAGGCTCAAGAAGAATAGGTGAGCTAGTGAAAGATGTGTTTAAGAAAAGCAAATTTACATAAGACCCTAGAAGTTAATTCTGGAGGCACTAGAGGGGCTAGGGAGGGTGCTAGAGCTGGGAAGCAGTGCTATTAAATCTGTGTGGTAGGAAGAACCTTCTGGCAGCCGTGCTTAGGGTAGTCTGGACTTCTTAGGAGGCTGGGATGGTAGGACAGTTTTGCATGAGCAAGGGTGAGGTCATGATTCTGAATATGGTCAAATACCATGAAATCAGCATGCTCCAGACTTACAGAGAAAGAATAGTGACCATGTCCACACATGTAACGCATCAGACTGAAATCATCTCATGTGGCTTTTTTTTTTTAAGATTTTATTTATTTATTTATTTATTTGGCAGACAGAGATCACAAGTAGGCAGAGAGGCAGGCAGAGAGAGAGAGAGAGGAAGCAGGCTCCCTGCTGAGCAGAGAGCCCGATATGGGGCTCGATCCCAGGACTCTGGGATCACAACCCGAGCTACAGGCAGAGGCTTTAACCCACTGAGCCACCCAGGCGCCCCTCATGTGGCTTTTCTTAACACACAGAGCACATTCCTTGCCTTTCCAGCAGGTCTGAGCTGTGGCTTTGTTTAATTGTCTGAAATAGAGGTGAGTCAGTGACTAGGAGCTGGTCGAATGTGTGTCTGTCATCCTGTGCCTTGGAAAGCTGTCAGCCCTGATGTGCATTGCACAAAGCTGAGCAGTTAAGACAAGGCCAAATGTCCTTAAGGTCTAATAGGGACATATTTTGAATGAGTCTCTATCAGAAATTAGAAAAATCAATAACATACTCAAGCATGAAATGCAAAAGTCAAAATGCTTTCTTACTAAAGGTACAATCCCACCAGGAGCGGGAACAACAAGCATTTTCAATGAGAAAGGCAAGGCACTTCAGATGATCCTATTAGCCGGTTTAAATGCGTAGATGCTGTCATACACCAGAGGTGTTTTAAAAGCTAAATGACAGCTTTAAACCACTTCTGCTCTAAACGCCAGATCACCTTTCCAGTGGTGTGTTGGCTCCATTTTCAGGGAAGCAACTCAGACTCAGCTTATTGTGAACTGAGCTTTCACCTAGGTTCCTTAACCTTCCCAGGAGGAAGTCTGCAAGTAACACTTGACATACACCCTCCTCCCCAACAAGGTGGGGTCTGTCTTCAAGCCCAAGGTTACCTGCTTGGGACTCTGCTCTGAGATGTTAGAGTTAGAAGTCTGCAAACCAAGTTTCCCAGACTCCCTTGTCAGTTGGCTTCCCGTTGGGCTCTGCCTACGAGGGGCACTAGAGGGAGAATGGAAGAAGAGAGCTACTGGTCTGCTCTTTCCCCGCTCCTACCCTTGTGTTCCATGGAAGCTGCCTCCGTGGCTGCTCATTTCTGTGTCTGTTCTCTCTTCCTGGATCCCCACTTCCCTTTCACCTGGCAACCTCCTAGTCATCCTTCAGGACGGACAGGAATGCCTCTTGCCCAGCCCACACCCCACCATGCTGCGTGCTCTCATGTCTACAGATCAGTGGCCAGGCTCAAAGACTGAGCCTGCACTGGAGTGTGGTGGGTGGAAAACCGGCTCTCAACCCCACTTCTTCCCCAGGTGGTCCTCCTTGTTCTGGGCCATCTGCAAATGTTTTGTTTGTTCCATGTGTAGTGGAGTGGTGCTGGTACCCGGCTGAGGTGTTCCCACACCTGATGTGAGCATTATTATTGCCCAGCACTCGTCATCCACAAAAGAGGAGTGTGCATTTTTTTTAAAGACTTTTTTTTTTTTTAATTTGACAGAGAGAGAGATTGCAGGTAGGCAGAGAGGCAGGTGGGGGAGGGGGGAAGCAGGCTCCCCGCTGAGCAGAGAGCCTGACACGGAACTCCATCCCAGGACCCTGAGACCATGACCTGAGCTGAAGGCAGAGGCTTAACCCACTGAGCCACCCAGGCGCCCCAGGAGTGTGCATTTCAGACCCTGCTGGAGACAAGCCCCTCCTCATCTGTCTGCTCTGGAGAGGGAGTCCCAACTTAGGGGGTACTGTCCTTCCAGGTGCATTGGAACCAGGGAAGAGGTCTGGGGGTACACGAGCCTACAGCAGCTTCCCAAGGCCCACTTAGGAAGACCCTAAAATTTGGTTCTATAAGAACAGTCCATACTCTGGGGTCTCAGAGGGGATGTGAAGAGGTCAGTGGGCCTTGGATGGCCCTGCCTGACCACTGAGGGCCCATGAGACTATGAGCACATTACTGACCTCTTCGAGTCTCGAACCCCCTCTCTGACCTCACCCGGCCTGACAGGGTCACACTGGAAAACACCATTTCTGTCACAAACCCAGATGGCAGTGTTGTGTGGCTTAAACAAAGGACCGTATCACTAATACTCCCTCTGCAGTCCCTACACCTCCCTCTCCTGCCATGGCGGAAGGCAGAGGAGTGAGGAATGAAGGGCAGGACAAGGGGCTGGTATTTCCAGGAAGTCCTGTGAGTTCTGAGCAACTTCTTCTCTTCCAGGCTCCAGGACAGGTCTGCCAGCCTCTTTTCACACCCCTCCCCAGACTCCTGAGCAGAGGCGGCCTCTCTGGTTCACTGGGGGGGCAGAGCACACTCTCCCGGCTTCCCCACCACACTCGTGAATGGATCACACACATCTCTGAGATTTCCCATAAAGACTAAGAAATACAGGGCAATAGCTCTCTTCCTCTACCCTTCCTGACACTTGGGAGAAATATGCTAATATTCCTTAATTGACCTCTTGTCGCCGACCGACTAGATGAGCTGGGCTCTGTCTCCACACTCCAAACGCCAGAGTCATGCCCACCAGAAGCACGTTGCTGCTCTCTGGTCCTGCTACCACCCCAGGGGCGTTCCCTGCCAATCCAGGGCACGGGGTGCCTTCCCCAGCGGCCAATGACTAGGTCAGTTACGACCGTAATCTATAACGAACTACGAATGCAGGCAGAAAAACTGGCTTGTTCTATGAGAACCAAGCTGAGTGCTTTGGGGAGACTTGACAAAGGAGCACAGCTGAGTATGAAAATGCTGCCAAACCAGGTCCTGGCAAGGCAGCCCTAAGGGCGCGGAGAGGAGTCAAAACATCCGGGGGAGCTCTGCGTTCTGCTCACTTTGCAGGTGTCACTCCAATGTAAAGGAACGGAATCTGGAAATTACAGATGGTGCTGTTTTCCATAAGTTTATACAGGAAATATAACTTGGTACACTAATACCCAGACCCCCAATCAAACAGAAGGTCTTGGCCCCAGATCAAAACCCTGGTAGACAAATGCTCATCTGCGTATTTAAAGTCACAACGTTTGCAGCATATACACGTTTCACTGTTAGGATTGTCTGTTGTAACTAGCTTTTTAAGACAGATCAGGGAGTGCCTGGGTGGCTCAGTCAGTTAAGCATCCATTCTTGATTTTGGCTCAGGTCAAGATCTCAGGATTATGAGATCCAGTCCTGCATCAGGCTCCACACTCAGCACAGGTCTGGATGAGATTTTCTCTTCCCCCCACAAAATAAATAAATAAAATCTAGAAGAAAGAAAGAAAGAGACAGAGAGAGAGAAAGAAAGAACAAAAGAGGAAAGGGAGGGACAGAAGGAGGGAGGGGGACGGAGAGAAGGAAGAAAGAAAGATTGATTAATCAGACATCCTTTGGTCTGACAGATAAGTAGCATCTCCAGATAAATAAAATCTTTAAAAACAAAACAAAACAAAACAAAACAAAAAAAAGGAAGACATGGAGATGTTTCTGGTAAACCCAGACCTCAAGGAAGGTCACTATGGGTCCAAGAAGGGCCAGCCTCCATGAGGCGCTAATGAACTGGGGTGAGCTGGAGAGGTGAAGATGCTGGTGAACTTGAGTGATTCTGGGAGTTCCGGGCTTGGGGGTGTCCCTGACCGCAGCACCCTTTGCTAGCTCCATGGGCAAGCCCACAGTTAGCACACCTGTGAAAGGCTTGGCACTCTGTCTGCACTTTCTGGAGGCCTTCTGCTTGACAGGGCACACGACTTGTGTTGAGAACATAAATGGCAATAATAAAAGATAAAGTTCACAAGCAAGTGCCTAATGGAGATGCATGTAATAGCAGATGATGTCCCTTAGGGTAAAGTGGCTGGTAATAAAGTTCATGGGGAGGAAAAGAGCTGAATGAAGAAATGGAGAAAATGAGATTACACTCAAGAAATAAAACTAAAAATGTGAGATCAGAGGTACTTTGGAGGTAAAAGCTTTCTCCGCTAAACTGTATCAATAAACTGAGTTTTATCATCAGTTTGCCTTTTATCACTATTTCCAAAACGTATTAGAGTGCTTTAGCTTTATAAATTCTGATGCTAGGCATAAAGCTTTGCATCTCATGTATACATGCATTCATGACGAGTTTCAAAAATGGTTAATTATCCCAACACGCAGACCCTCAGAAGCAAGGAAGGAATTATGGGTTCCCTCCATGCTAGGCTAATGCCCTTGCTGTGAGTCACTCTGCAGTCTGGGGTGCCCCGTGGTCTTTGGTGCATAAATGAATTCTCTTGCTTCCCGTTTCTGTGTTTTGGGAGCAGAGCTGGAACTTAAAAGTACTAGTGAAACAGTGTGTGTGCAGACACCTCCAAGATCTTTAAAACTTTGTATCTCAATCCCTCATGACTGTCCCATCCACACTGAAATAGAGAGCAATTGATCTAGGGACCCTCTTTCACTGAATCTTTCCAAAGCACTCATTTTTTTTTATTTATTTCTTTTCAGTGTAACAGAATTCATTGTTTATGCACCATACCCATGCACTCATTTTTTTCATAAGAGAAACAATAATCCTTTTTGACACTTATATTTCATTGGCTTCTATAATAGTACAATATGCACTTATAAGCCAAATACCACTGGCTTAGACTGTTTTGGGGACAGCTACAACTGACACTTAGAAAGCTTGTAATCCAACTGCTGGGAGCAGAGATGGCATGTGGGTGAACCAGAGAGGCTGCCGGTGGGCAGGTATGCTGTGGGGAGCAGGCAGCACAGCTTACATGTGGGATGAAGAACCGTGGCTATCCGGCCAGTGGGTTCAGCACAGGTGGACGAAGGGAGCTATAATGTATACAGAAGGAGCTTACTGTAGTGCCATCTGCACGGGACTATCAAAACCAAAATCAAAACCAAGAAACAACACAAGCATCCACACATAGAGAAATGGCTCATTAACGTTGCACGCACAGTATGGAGCAATATAGACATGAAGACATTTTTGTGTATATTGACCTAGACGGATGTCCTTTATCGTTTCAGGTTACAAAATCAAGTTGCAGAGCGAAATGAATGGTATGATCCCCTTTGGTTAAAAGGAAGGCATAACATGGGGTGCCTGGCTGGTTCAGTTGGTTAAGCATTTGCTTTCAGCTCGGGTCCTAATCTCAGGGTCGTGGGATTGAGCCCTACATTGGGCTCCCCCCTCAGCAGGAAGTCTGCTTCCCTCTCTCTCTCTCTCTCTGATAAATAAAATTTTTGAAAACAAAAAAAAAGGAAGACATAGCAGAAGGAAGAAGAGAAGGAAGAATGGAGAGAAGGAAGGAAGGAGGAACAAGGAAAATAGACTATTTGTATATGTTAATATAAACACTAAGAAATCAAGAAAGAAATGGAAGGATTCGCTGCAGTTTCCTCAGGAGAATGAGGAGGAAGAACGTAGCTTATTAACTTTGTCTTTATATATCTCTGCATTTTACTTGTTTCAGTGATCATATATTACTTCTTTAATTCAACAGTCTAATGAAATAAAGTAAGGAAATTAAAGTCAATTACACCTGAATAAAGCTGAAAAAAAAAGGAGAAGACTTTTCTAAAAAGTTAAAAAGAGCATCTGAAGCATGCTCATGAATAACTCGATTCCAGGTTCCATCCCTCAGGGCAAACCATGAGTCCCTGTGCCTCCTCACTTCTTCTTCCAGGGTGCAGCCTGTGTAGCCAGCCTTGACCGGCCTCTGACCCATGTGGTAAAAACCAACCTCCTCCAGGTGGGCCACCAGGGTTTTTCAAAGCCCATGCACATGGATTATCTGATTCCTCTCTCAGCGGCCACTGAGGACAGCAGAGCAGAAGAGTCTTGCATAGAGCAGAGGAAACTGGGATGAAGAGGCAGCAGTACGCCCAAGGTCATACACGGGTCACACAAAGCACCACGGTCATATGACCCCAGTTCCCTTTTGCACCGCCGCCTCACCCCCGAGACACTGCAGGTCAGCAGCACAGCCAGAGACTTGCAAGGAGAGTATAGCCTTGTCTGGTCCCACAGCCCATAGTCACAAAGGGAAAAAGACTCGCCAGCAGGAATTTAACTGATTTCTACTTCTATGTCAGGAGTTAGAAGCAAAGTTACCCTCAGATACTCAGCAATGGAACAACCATGGGCTCTGAGGGCAACTGTTGTCATGGTGACCACACCTTACCTCCCTGTGGTGTTTTACAGTCAACAGAGTACATCAAGGACCGTGGCATTCACAGTCATGGCTGCAGGACATTCCCAGTAACAAACCAACATTCCCCCTGCATTTAAGAGTCAAGTAGGTCACACTTCTTGAATGCTCACCGGGTATGCCATTCGGTCCATCTCAGAGGTGAGGAAACCGAGGCTCAGGCGGGTTCAGTGACATGTCCAGAGTCACTTTCTTCATACACAGAATAGGTGGGACTCCGATGCAGACACGGCTGACGCCAGGCCCAGGATGGCAGGCCCGCGGGCGAGCCACATGGCGGAATGATAGCGTGAGCCTACATCAATGCGATCATAACTGCATCACGGCTACCACACGCCTCCTTCGGATTTAGTTGGTAATTTTCATTTTAATGCTTCAAACCGGGGAAAGCAAACTTTTATATTTACAGCCCTTTGGTTCTGTTAGTTTGGTCAAATTGGTATGATGTTTACAGATCAACGGTAAAATCTGCAGAGGTGAGTAGAACCCCACGGTACTTAACCTTTTCTTTATACAACACGCCGGAGAAAATCACCAACATGAGGCCTCGGTGAGCGAGGCCAAAAGTTCATTGCCGCTGAATAACTGTTTAATTAAATCCCTTTCAGAAAACTGCCACCCCTCTGAAAGGTCAGGCACGGCTGTGACAGCTGTGTAGATATACACTGGGACAAAGGGACGGACGTTGCATGTGATTAGAACCAATGAATTTTTAACGTCTTGGTAATGATGCTTTCTGGCCCTGTAACTTGAGAAACTGATGTATTGCCATGCGGTAGATGAGAAAAAGTAAATCAAACAGTCCACTGCAAGAACAGCTTGCTTTTTCATTCATGAGACACATAAAACATTGAGGGGGAGGCAGGACGGCTCTTGAAGAAGCAAAGAGAGAGAGAGACAGAGGCAGAGATAGAAACACACACACACACCCACACATGATTCCTACCCTTAGCCTTGGAGAACCATGTCTTCCCATCAGTTTCTCTTTATCGTGCTGACTTTAGCGGTAACATACTGAGAACTGTGGGCTGTTTCATTCACGTTGAATAAATGAAGAGCCTTCATTATTAATCAAGCATGTACTTATAGACATGTATTAATAAGTGCGTGACCCTTGTTCCTGGTCTCATTTCTCTCCCTTGGGAGCAGCAGTTCTTCAGCTGTAAGGCTTTGGCTGGTTGGGGGTGGGGGCGGGGAGCAAATGATGGCCAGCCAGTCACTCTGCCACTAGATTATGAGCTCAGGGTTAATTAGCAAATCTAAAAAGCACAGATGAGCAGGGTTGTTTTTTTGTTTTTGTTTTTACTTGAAAAGGACTCATTTTCTAAAAGCAACTTCCTTTTATTAAAAAAAAATTCCAAAGCTGGAGGAAGGCACCTTGCTCTGGAGGTCCTAGACCCAGAGGATGTCTAGGGCTGTCTAGGACTGTCTCTGAAATTACTCAAGAGCACACACTGGGGGTCATCTAGACAGGTATGACGGTGGCTGGACTCCGTTAACACACAGTTCCAACAATGCCTAAAATAAATACATTAATGGCACCAAATGTACAGGTCCTCTGTCTTCCAGAGGACAGCATGAGGTGACCACCAAGCTCCATGGACTCTCAGAGCCTATCATCCCTGGGGCTTCTGGTTGGAAGCCAGGAGAGTCCACTCTCCTTTAGTTTCAAAAAGGCTGGAGGAGAAGGGGGTCAGTCTCACTATTTTGAGTGTGCTTGGGAAGGAAGGGGCCCACTCACCATCTGGAGGACATCGGAAGAGACCATCTGCATGCAGCACATGGCCGTGGCCAACGCACACACGATGGTGGAGAGGACATTGAGGGCACACACGCTGAAGAGGAGATCCTGGGAGAGAAAAATGCAGCAGAATGTCAGTCTCCTCTCAACAACCCAGATGGCAGATCCTTAGCATTTCCATCAAGGTCCAGAACGAGTGTGACCAATTGCCCTCCACTTCCCGGAGGCTTTCTTTTGGAGTTTGTTTGTTTTAATAATCAAACTGGCCATTAATATAGACACATCTGTTTACCCTTCTACAATGCTGACTGAATTATTCTTAGATACTGAATGATGTATTTCACACTTTTGGTCATTATTAGGCACTCACTATCTACGAAAATCTTGAACTCACCAACATTTAAGTAGGGGGGCAATCGTTATCAATTATACAATGTAACTTAAAATCTTGAAGACTTTAGTAAAATGCCAAGTTTTAAAATTTTTTTTTTAATTTTTATTTATTTATTTCACAGAGAGAGAGAGAGATCACAAGTAGGCAGAGAAGCAGGCAGAGAGAGAGGAGGAAGCATGGTCCCTGCCAAGCAGAGAGCCCGATATGGGACTCAATCCCAGGACCCTGAGACCATGACCTGAGCCAACGGTAGAGGCCCAACCCACTGAGCCACCCAGGCGCCCTGCCAAGTTTTTAAATTAAACTGTTTGCCTTCAGGTAATGGCAGATTCACAAGCAGGTATAAGAAATAATACAGAGAAGCCCTGCGGACCCTTTGCCCAGTTTCCTCCATGGTAGCATCTTGAAAAAACCGTAGTGAAATATCACAACCAGGATTGATGGTGATGCCGTCCAGACACAGAACATTTCCATCACCATGAGGATCCCCGCCCCACGTTGACCTTTCAGAGACACACGTACTTCTCTCCCCTGCTCCAGCTCCATCTCCCATTACCAACCCTTATCAACCATTAGCCTGGCCTCCATTTTTATAATTTTGTCCTTTGAAGAATGGTACACAAGTGGAATCATATAGCATGTAACCTTTCAAAATTGGCTTTTTTCACTCATAGTAATTCCATCAGGATTCATCCACACTGTTTCATGTGTCAGCAGATCATTCCTTTTTATTGCTGAGCTGTATTTCATGGTGAATGTACCACAGTTTGCTTAATCAGGCACCAGATGAGAAATATCTGTGTGCTTTTCAGTTTGGGGCTATTACAAATAAAGCTGCCATGAATGTTTGTGTACAGGTCTTTGTGTTCACGTAAGTTTTTATTTCCCTGGGGAAAATGTCCAAGAGTACAATTGCTGGGTCATAGGGTAACTAAATGCTTGGTTTTATAAGAAACTGCCACATTGTCTTCCAGAGTGACTGAACCATTTTATGTTCCTACCAGAAATGTATGCATGATCCAGTTTTTCTGCTCTCTTGTCCATATTTGGTATCACTATTTTTATTTTAGCCATTCTGATAGCTGTGTAATGATATACTAATATCATTTTTTAATGATACTGGTTTTAATTTGAAGTTTCTTACTGGCCAGTGCTGCTGAATATCTTTTTGTGTGCTTATTTGATCTGTATATCCTCTTCGGTGAAGTGCCTATTTGTATCATTTGCCCATTTTCCAACAGAACCATTTGCTTTTTTATGAATTTTGAGAGTCCTTTATGTGTCTTAGGTCTTGGTCTTTTGTCAGGTATGTTTTTTGCAAATATTTTTCCCAGTCTGTAGCTTTCCATCCTCTTCACATACGTTTTCACAAAACAAAAGTTTCATATACATAAGGTCCAGCTTACCAATTTTTGTTTTTATGGCTCATGCTTTTGGTGTCAAGATTTTCTCCTATATCTTTTTCTAAAGTTTTTATAGTTTTACATTTTACATTTAAGTGTGTGATTCATTCTGAGGTAATTTTTGAATAAAGTGTGGGTTAGGTTGAGGTTTATTTTTGTGTTTCTATTTTTAATCTTGACATGTTCATTGCTAGATGTAGAAATGTGGTTTATATTTGTATATTTATCTGGTATCTTGTGACCTTGGGATTTATGTAGACAATGAGGTCATATGCAAATATTCTATTTCCTCTTTTCCAATTTGTATGCTTTTTAATTTTTCTTGCCTTATAGCACTAGCTAGAATTTCAAGTTTATGAATAAGAAGATGAATGAGATGGTGAGAACAGCTATCTTTGTCTTGTCGAATTTCGTGGAGTTTTAACTCTCCAAGTACAATTCATTGCTCTTTAGGAAATTTATTCTCTAAAAATAAGCATGATTCACAAAAATATACAGGAATACCTTGTAGATATTTGAGGTTGTGTCCCAGATCATTGCAATAAAACAAATATTGCAGTAAAGTGAATCAAATGCATTTTTTGGTTTCCTGGTGTATATAGAAGTTATGTTTACACTATACTGTTGTCTATTAAGTGTGCAATAGCATTATATCTAAAAAATGTACATACCTTAATTTTAAAATACTGTATTGCTAAAAAGTGCTAAACATCATCTGGGGTTTCAGCAAGTTGTAATCATTTTACTGGTAGAGGGTTTATCCTCCCTCTTCATGCCCGCTGACTAATTAGGGTAACAGTTGCTGAAAGCTGAGGTGGCTGAAGCAATTTCTTAAAATAAGACAACCAGTTGCTGCATTGATTAATTCTTCCTTTCATGAAATATTTCTCCGTAGCATGTAATGCTGTTTGATAGCATTTTATCCAAAGAACTTCTTTCAAAATTGGAGTCAATCAATCCTCTCAAACTCCATCTCTGCTTCATCAGCTAAGTTGATGTACTATTCTAAATCCTTTGTTAACGTTTCACCAATCTTCACAGCATCTTCTCCAGGAGTAGATTCCATCTCAAGAAATCCTTTCTTTGTTCATCCATAAAAATCAACTCCTCCTTCACCCAAGTTTTTTTCATGAGAGGGAAGCAATCCAGTCCCATCTTCAGGCTCCACTTCCAGTTCTAGTTCTGTGGCTGTTTCTACCACATCTACAATTACTTCTCCTCTACGAAGATCTGAACCCCTCAAAGTCATCCAGGAGGGCTAAATCAGTTTCTTCCAAACAGATGTACATATTGATATTTTGACCTCTTCTTGTGAATTATGGATGTTCTTAATGGTATCTAGAATGGTGAATTCTTTACAGAAGGTTTTCAGTTGACTTTGCGCAGATCCATTAGAGGAATCATAGTCTATAGCTGCTATATAGAAGCTTATGAAATTTCTTTTTTTTATTGTTCTGAAAGATACTTTATTTTTTATTGTAATTCTAGTATTGTTAACATACAGTGATATTAGTTTCAGATGTACAATATAGTGATTAAAAATTTGATACATCACCCAGTGCTTATCATGACAAGTGTCCACCTTAATCCCCATCACCTCTTTCACCCATCCTCCCACCCACCTCCCCTATGGTAACCATCAGTTTGTTCTCTAGAATTAAGAGTCTGTTTCTTGGTTTGTCTCTCTCTTTTTTCTTTGGTCATTTGCTTTGTTTCTTAAATACCACATATGAGTGAAATCATATGGTATTTGCCTTTCTCTGACTGATTCTTTAGCTTAACATTACACTCTTCAGCTCCATCCATGTCACTCCAAATGGTAAGATTTCATTTTTTAATGGCTGAGTAATATTCCATTGCATATATACACACACACCATATATTCTTTATCTATTCATCTATCAATGGGTACTTGGGCTGCCTCCATAATTTGGCTACTGTAAATAATGTTGCTATAAACATAGAGCTACACTAATGAATTGTGTATCCCTTTGAATTAGTGTTTTTGTATTATTTGGTTAAATACCCAGTAGTGTGATTACTGGGTCATAGGGTAGTTCTATTTTTAACTTGAGGAACCTCCATACTGTTTCCCAGAGTGGCTGCACCTGTTTCCATTCCTACCAAAAGTGCAAGAGGGTTCCTTTTTCTCCACATCCTCACCAACATTTATTGTTTCTTGTGTTTCTGATCTTAGCCATTCTGACAGGTGTGGGGTGGTACCTCACTGTGGTTTTGATTTGCAGGAAAAGTATTTCTTAAAAAACAAGACTTGAAAGGCAAAATTACTCCTTGGCCTGTAGGCTGCAGAATGGATGTTGTGCTAACAGTCAAGAAAACATTAATTTCATTGTACATCTGTATCAGAGTCAGTCTGTCTTCTGAATCTTTGAAGCCAGGCATCAACTTTTTTTCTCTAGCTATAGAAGTCCCAGATGGCATCTCCTTCCAGTAGGAGGCTGTTTTGCCTATATTGAAAGTCTACTGTTGAGCGTCACTACATTCATTAATTATCTGAGCTAGATCTTCTGGATGACTGGCTGTACCTTCTCCATCAGCACCTGCTGCTTCACCTTGTACTTTGATGTTATGGAGATGGCCTCTTTTCTTAAACCTCATGAAGCAACTGCTGTTAGCTTCAAACTTTTCTTCTGCAGCTTCCTCATCTCTTAGCCTTTGCAGAACTGAAAAGATTTAGGGCCTGGCTCTGGATTAGGCTTTTTGCTTAAAGGAATGTTGTGGCTGGTCTGCTCTATCCAGACCTCTGGAACATTTGCCATATCAGTAATAAGGAAGTTTTGCTTTCTGATCATTCATGTGTTCACTGGAGTAGCACTTTTAATTTCCTTCAGGAACTTCTCCTTTGTATTCACAAACTGGATAACTGGTGCAAGAGGCCTAGTTTCTGGCCTATCTCAACTTTCAACATGAGCTTTTCACTAAGCTTAATCATCTCTAGTCAAAATGAGCCGGGGAATGGCTGGTCAGTGGAGCAGTCAGAATACATATATACTTATCAACTAAGTTCACCATTTATGTACGGGCATGGTTTGTGATGCCCAGAAACTATCATAATAGTAACATCAGAGATCACTGCTCATAGGTCACCATAACAAATATAATAATAATGAAAGTTTGAAGTATTGTGAGAATTGCCAAAATGTGACAGAGACATGAAACGAGTGAATGCTGCTGGGAAAATGATGCCAATAGACTTGCTCGATGCAGGGTTGCCACAAACCTTCAATTTGTAAAAAACACAGTATCTGAGAAGTGCAATAAAATGAAGCATAATAAAAGAAGTTATGTCT